GTAGGAATCTTTACAGCATAGAATCCAGCCTTTTTAAATCCATGCAGGATTCTTTGGGCTGCAGGGCGCTGGAGACTTATTGCCATGACGAAGAAACCATATTGATTTCATCCAGCACAGTCAGGATACAATCTTTGGATCTCCTTGTCAGTATCGCGGATGAGACGATCCACCACCCGTCTCCGGTTCTTGACTTTGAGCGACTGAATCACTTACTAGTTAATTGACTGGGGAGATGCGGGGGTGTTAAGTGCAGTTGTCTGTCAAGAAGAGGACCTGCGGTTGACAAAAGCGTGGAAATTAAGCTCGGTCCAAAAATAAAAGTGCGAACTGTGGGAAGAATTGAACAAGCACCGATCCTGTTAAATGTAGGGTAAACGATGATGAAACCGAAAATCGAAAGCACTCACTTTGCGATTCTGGAAATGGAGCTTCCTGTCCAGTTTCGGCTGATAGGAACGCCAAAGATCGCTCACCATCCATGTTTTCTTGTTTCTTTAAGAAGTGGTGGGAAGCTATTGGTGCCCTTAAAACACCGGGGATATTTATACTTGCCAATGAGAAGAGGCAGCTTTTCGCTTCCATCCATCTTCGAATCAACAAGAAGAGTGACGTGCTCCTTCGACCGCTTTTCGCCACGAGATTTGTCCCCTTGGAAGCAAATGGACCAGTGAGCATTTAAACAAGAGGCTAGTCTCGTCAAGGGTTGTTATGTATTTCGGATTCCTTCAGTAGTTTTTCACGTCTGGCAATCAACGTTGGAAACATCATCACCTCCCGTCATCTTAACTCTTTCCCTGGCAGGCTGGGTATGCCTTTTTTTTCATGCAAGTGCATAGGTTTACTTTTTATTTTATTGTGAGAAAATGAATCAATGTTTCAAGATGAAATAAAAGAATAGCTACACATTTTTGCTCCCCACGCAAGAATTGAAAAAAGATAGTATTTAGAACATTAATTTTGGGGAATACATAATTTTTCCACTTTTTACTTCTTGTATTCTTTTTGAGTGTAGGAGTCAAATTTCCAAGCTGAAATTTCCGTGAGTGTATCGATTTCTGTTACAAGAACAGTGCTGCTTCGATGTGTCACCAAGTTCTCATAGTTCTAGCTTCATCCAGTAGATGGCTGTAGCCTTCAGAACAAGAGCTTGTGCTTCGTCCCATAAATGGGACGTTGCCAGAGAAAGGGTTAAACACCATGCCATACGCGTTTTGAACTTCGCCAACCAACCACTGTTTGCCTGAAAATCCTTCACTTGAAGTTTTTCGGCGAAATCCCATGCCTTGGCACAAAGTGTCACACCGTCTAAAGGAACATACTTCGCACGAACTTGTCCAATCCATATTTTCAGAGCCTCTTCCAGTTTCTCAAGTTGAGTGCACGAACTCTTCACGCTGCTTGCCTTCACTCCACGGGTCATATTTTCAAAGGGCTACTAAGTTTAGTAGCTACTAGCTAGTAGCTACTTAAAAAAATGGTATTTTCAAAGACTCACTAACTTCTGACTTGTTAGTAGCTACTAACTTAGTAGCAGTTGGGTTTGGAATAGATTTGGCAACACTGCGAGCGAAAATTTCAAGCGTGAGCCTCCACGACAGAGAATGGTATCGTTTTCGGAGTCGATTTTTTCACACGTCCAATGTATGCTAATTGGTAGAATAATAAGTATGACATATTTTAAGGTTCGGATAGAGACGTCAAAAAATCATATTTTTCTTTCATGACACCTTGTGCCACGGTCGACCATTCATCTCCTTACATTTAGAGAGAATAACGGGATAATTATGAATGTCGCTAAACGTCCAAGATCGGAAAACTGGTGCATCGAAGAGAAGGAGCTTCTTCGGTCTCTGTGTATTGAGGCCTCATCTGCCATAGAGGACAAGAAAATATACATTTCTCGAAGGATCCGACTGTCGTATGTCCCGCCAGGCCATCGCGCGACAATATTTGTGATGTAGTGATCTGCATCACAGATAACTTGGCAGTTGATGGAGGTGAATCCTTTCCGATTCATGAATCTCTATGCATTTTCGCCACCTACAACGATTATAAAATGCTATTAAGAGCAAAAGTTGTTTGACCCACTTGAAAAATGAATTTATTCTTCATTAAGGCTCATTTTTCGAGCAATGAAAACAGTTTATGAGTACAGTACAGTGTTTTTAAGCAGCACAGTTCAGCTGGTGATTTGATGGGAATGTGTGTGCCGTCTATCACTCCGTAAACGCCTGGAAAACGGCGTTTTTGAGCGAAGCCCACCATTTTCCTTTCGAATTCTTGTTCTGTCGTTGGAAAATGTATGGACTGCGGGCGCAAACGCGCTACAGTTATGGCGACTGACTGCACAACCACAGATACAGCGCTTTGTGACAGTCCAGTCAAGTCACCATCGCTTCTCTGGAAATGACCTGTAGCCATGAATCGAAAATATACGCACACTTGCTGTGGAACGGGGATTGCGTGACTTCTCAAAGTCGCACGACTTGGGACCCCTTGTAGCAGTCTCACTAATTCCATGACCGTGCCTTTGGAAAGTCTGAACCTGGCTATGAACTGGTCCTCATCGTAGAATTCAATGTGATTCCCATGGTCCAAATATATTCTTGGCCTGTACTGATTTGATGGCTCACGTTCTTCTGCATTAATTGCACGTAAGACGTCCATAACTGACAGACTGAGAATTAGTAGTCTTTTAAACAACCCCCCCAACACCTACTAAAATTTTCTTACGGTTAGTAACTATTTAGTAGCTACTAACGCTTAGTATCTCTTTGAAAATACCATCTTAGTCACGACTAGAGATAGTAGAGACTTAGTAGCTACTAACTTGTTAGTAGCCCTTTGAAAATATGACCCCACTTTTCAAAGTTTCTCGATGGACGCTTCTCCTTTGAGAAATGGTATAATTTGGTTTTAAAAAAAAACCTGTTTGGGTTTATTATTACCGTGAATTATGTAACAAACTTTATAGCAGGATTGAAATTCGTCTCACTTCCCCAATGTCCATAGGATCTAAAAAAATTTGAGACCCATTTAGAGGTCTGTGTCATGTGAATTGGAAGGCATTCCAGAATCCACATGCCGTTGCTGTTAATGTGTTTCGTTGTAGACTTTCGGCTTTCACTGTACGGGTTGCTGTTTTTTTTATTTTATTTATTCCACGCTTGCTTAACCTTTCGGGATACTCATAACTCAATGCTCAATTAAGCGAGTGACCTCTCATGCCATAAGGCGAAGATGCCTGTAATGAAATTCCTCTCCTGTACGTCCGTTTAGTCTTAATCGCTCCTTGGAGACTCATGGAAGGAGCCTCGTGTCCCATGCCATATGGGTAGGAAAAAAATGAGTTTCCGGAAGCTATGCAATTCGATGACTGAAGTAACAAGCAGTATCTCTTTTTCTGATCGTCGCGCCCTTCTAGCTTTTTCCTATAAGATGTTGGATCGCACATGCTGATTGTTAACGATGAGGACTGTTTCTTCGCCGTGCAGAAGTGTTATTTAGAACTTAATACTATGAATGGAGTGTGCGTCATATCGTCTAAAGACAAATGGGCGACTGGATGGATGGTCCAATGCTATTAAGGTACAATGGACAAAAGGGAGAAAGGACATTTGGTCTAAATACCACTTCGTCTTTACATGTTCCAAGGTTCGCCTGCGCGAAATCTGATCCAAGAAGGAGGAAATGTACAGAATTACCTACGGCATCGTAGAGAAAAAGCAGGAATTCGAACAGACGATGTTATCGAACCAACGCAGAGAAACGGAACATCTAAAGCTATGCGTTCAGTCCTCAATCCTACGTTTTACTGAGTGCCCGGACTGCATCGTGTCTAAGATATTACTATGGAGAACCTCATATTTTCTAAGACACAGAAAGGAGCCCAACTTCTCTGCTACGGTGGGTATTCATATACGGTTGCGAGGAAGAAAGAAAACACCACCTACTGGCGGTGTAGTGATAGAAGTTGTCCTGCACGAGCAGTGACTAATGATAATGAATTAAGTACTATATCGACGGAAGAAGGGTCAGAGGACGACCACGGTCAGGTCCAATGTTCCCTATCAGGTTATGGAATATCCGGAGCAGGGTACTGCATGATGAACCAAGAACAACGAATGGTCTCGAAGGTTGGCATAGGAGGCTTAATTTCCTCATCAAGGAATCGCATCCCAGCGTGTTCCTTCTGCTTCAGGAATTGCAGTAAGAACAAGCCAACACCGAGAGGGAACTAGGTCGAGTAGTGGCAGGGTATCCTACAAAGAAGAGACGCGGAAACGAAATTCAAAAAGACATCAGAATCAAGTCAGTAGTACAAGATTATATCAATAGTAACCGCGAAATGATGCAGTATCTCCGTGGAATCGCCCACAACGTGCAATTTTGACAGCTATCAGGAGGAACTTCTCTCGCAGACAGACGGAAAATAAACTTCGGACTTTTATGAAATTGCTCCTTCTGACCTTTAGCCGATATGGACTGTGGACCTTGTTGTTTTGAACCAATTATACTGTAGACGTTGTGACTATTGGACTATTCATGATTAGACCTTTTGTCGTGGACCCCTAGGAATGGGTTAGTGACTGGTCATTGTGATCTTTTATGGTCATGAGGCCTACTCTTGTTGGCCTTGCTGGCTGCAATAGACGATATTATAGGTCAATATCCCATCCCTAATTAGGGCCCCCTGAATGCGAAAAGGATTAATTATGCAGGATTACTAGCGAAAGTTCAATATCTGCACGAACTCTTTTAACCCTTTAACGGGGACACCCGTCATATGATGTTTTGACAGTTGTGCATATCTGCCCCTCCTGGATATGTAGAGGATACTTAAAAAGACTCCCCCCGTTTAAGAGTTTATCTCTAGCCTGATAATTGCGAAGAGGGCTACTGCCCTTCGCAATAATATTTCAGATTCTTTCTCTTTTATCTTCTGAGATTTTGGTTACCTGTTCGTTACTTTGTACGAAACCTTTGGAATCTGGATAGGCCGAGTGTACAACGTGAGCCGATACTTGGAGTACCATCCGGGTGGAGAGGAGGAACTGATGAAGGGAGCCGGGAAAGATGCTACTGATCTCTTCAATCAGGTCCATAGGTCTTCCTGTTCTCACTCGATTGAGAATGTATGAACAATTTTTTACTTGCTGTCTTGCATGCTAGGTCCATCGATGGGTGAATTTCGAATCCTTGCTTCAGAAATGCTTGATTGGGAAGCTTCAGGATACCAAACCCATATCCCTCCGTAATCCATCTTGTCCCCTCATTTAATTTTGGTATTTCGTGTACTTTTAATTCGTGGGCTATGATCCACTTGGCTTCGTGCAGAGAAGCAGAGGCAGTCGTTGGATGTATTATCATCTCATGGCCCTCCAAGTCCGTCATCCCCGTCGAGGAAGGGGGAGGAGGTGGAGGAAGAGAATGAGAAAGTGAGTATCCGCTGGGACTGGCACGAGACGCCATCCACCCTGGAGATGAGCTTCTACACGAAAACGAAGAAGAGAGTCCGGGAGGAGGACGTCCTCGTGGACCTGGCACCTGGGAATGATACACTCTCGTGCACCATCACACTCCTCCCCGATCACCTCTACACTCTATCTGTTACCCTTGCTCACCCCGTTCAATCCAGGGTCATGGTCCGCTCCTTTTCCAACGCTGACAAGGTCTGCTTATATGAATCATTCCTTGGCACTTGCTATTCTCGACGTGTTTCCCACCCATCATGCATGATGATGGGCGGTTGTTCATACGTATTACCATTGCTGCAGTTCAGAGATATTGGACCATCTTCCTGCATGATGGCGCACCATCGCTGATTTAGAGTCTTGCAAAAACTGTGCTCACAGACACCTTTCATGACAGGGTCAGCTGTAGGCATTTTCTGACACAATCACCCATCACCCATAACCATCACCCAGATCACTGGATCCAAATCCAGCAGACTTTTGATAGTGGGAGTATCTGAAGTCTCGAATGTCTCTCAGCAAGTCTGTGTCATTGCCAGAACTGAAGGCTGCCATTCAGTGAGAAGCGCTGTCCATTCGCTGCAACATGTAGGGACCCAGTCTGTAATGTTGGACGCTGGCTTAAAACAATTGTGTAGTTTGGTGGGGTCCATGTTCTTACCCTGAATACATGACATCACAGCAGCAGCACCTCTTATGAAGCATGTGGTTTTTTTTTTGCATAACTTCCTCTCATGATGTACTAATGCTACTCCCTAAGTTGCACAGAGTTGGGGTGCATAGTTTTTGTTCCAGAATGTCAAGCACCCACAAACTGACTCTATAAGCACCTGGTAGATATCTGGAGAACAATGCAATGTAGAAAAAAAAAAGTTAGAAATGGTTTCTTTGGTGAATCTTCTACACCTTTCCAAATTTTAATTAAAATCAGAGGCAGTAAAGCTCACCCTCTGGTTGATTTGTGGTCATAAAGTGTTCATCAAGGATTCAGAGAAGGTATTAACTGCTTGGTGAATTTCTTGATGGTATCCTTTTTGAAATTTGTTAGCCATGTTGGGTCTTGGTATGCTTTAGGATGCACTCAATCATAGGCGTAGGAACATCCTCGAAGTAAATGAGATAGGTCAGTTCTGAAATTTGGAAAATTACTATTTAATTCAAACACAATCAGGATATCAAATTCATATAAAACTAAAATGCAAATATTCTCCTTTCCTCAGTTTTCTTTGCAAAAATATTTAATCAATTTATCTAATTCCAAGAAGTCCAAAATATCCTGATGTGCATGCCTCAATGCAACGTTTGTCAGGCGCTGTTGTATCATTGTCATCATCTGCATCCAATTCTTGAGCCGCCTCAATGCCAAAAAAGACCTCTCTGCTGATGCATACACAACATACCTAGCACAAAACCGTGTCTTTCACAGGCAAGTATGAAATCCATGGTCACATATGAAAGTACTTTGCATTGAATGCCCTACCCCCTCTTCTAGGGAAATTATATTTTTGCAACTGAAAAGAGCCACCTTCACTAACATGCACATGATCCTGTGCAATCATGTTTGTAGAGACTACCAATAATACAACACTGTTGAAGTTTTCCACTCCTGAAATTTCTTCATATTTTGCTGTCTTTGGTTTCATAATGAGATCAAAAAGCGTTCCAGTTTGAGTACTTCTCTTCCACGACTTGGCACTGAACTTCTATTCACTGTTCTACCGTGCAAATTTTTCAAGCCAGACTTATGACTGAAGGGGACTGACTCCAGAAGCACCCTTCGAGGAAAGACTTTAGAGAAGGGAGGAGAAGTCTAATTGAATGGGAGATCTTGAACCCAAGACAAAAAAGAACTCCCACTGGATGCCTATCAAGTGTGCCCTACCATGCCAATCCCCCTCAGACATTAACCTTGCTTCAAGCAAAATTTATTTTCCAAACCCCACTAAATGCCATGAAGGATCTTAAGTCACAACTTCCCAGTGTACACATTACTCTTAGGTTTTAAAAAGTGGGGGGGGGGGGCAAAAGATACCTTTTGCCCCCCCATCTGGAAATGTGAGGGAGCATTTGCCACCCCTTTCCCCCCCAGTTCCTATGCCCATGCCCTCAATATCAGAAATGAACTCTGTGGCCCAAAATACTCCATTTAGACACCAAGTGTGTATTCATGTGACTTTCAGTTGGTCTCCAATTTCAATTTTTAGGTTGCAGCATTCATTTTGAGCTTTCATCATCAATACAAAAAAAACAGACCAAGACACGGCAAAAACCTTCTATTTGATGCCTGTTGTGTATTTATGTACTGGGGGGGGTGTGAATTAAATTTTTCCTGACTTTATAACTATCCTGTTCACCACTTTCATGATGATATTGCAGTATTTTATGGTTGCTCACTGAAATATCAGTCTTCCTCCAAGGTTTTGGAAAAACTGGACCGTGAAAGTGTTAAGAATGAGGTGATCACATCATCTTCATCTGGCATGTTACTGCACAAGATTGTTACCTTTGCCTCATTTGAAAAATTGTGTCCTATTTCTTCTCACAGAGGAAAGTATAAACTAAGGCATAATTTGAATTAGTAGCCCCAGATATTAGGAATGTAAAAATTAGTATGTCTGGAAGAAATAGGTCTATAAGAGAAAAATTTAGTCCTGCTTTCATTTTCACTTCTCCCCTCAATATTTTTTCCACTTGATATTCATCTCTGTCTCCTTGGATAAGTGTGAAAATGCACGTGTTTATGCGCAGGTGTCCTTGTATCTGAAAAAAGTGACCCAAGGTTTGTGGAAGAACTTAGGAGAAGGTAGTGATGGGGATGGGGAGCTGAGAGCATTGAAGGATGCTCCAGTTGTCTATCGAGAGTGGGAAGTGACAAGGAAGGAGGAGGTGACCCACAACACGCGTCTCTTGCAACTCCAAGCTCCTCCTACCTGCCTTCACCTCCGTCCACCTCTAGGGTATCATGTCCATATCCGCCTCCACATCTCTGAAGGGGTGGATGTGGTTAGAAGCTATACGCCTGTTGCATCTGGGTTGGAGGACTTGGAAGAGAAGAGTGTGGATGGAGGCCACATTTATCTACTAGTCAAGATTTACCAAGAAGGAGCCTTAACTCCTCAACTTGATGCCCTGCAAGTTGGTCAAAAGGTAGAAATTCCCTATCCCTACAGAGCTGTGATTGTGACATAAATTGGGTGATAAAATATTGAGCATCATTCATATGATGAACTGCTGAACCATTCGAGTGGCAAGTAAGAGTTTTTCTTTTGCTTTTTTGTGAACATTTTGGCTTTTTGAAACAATTACTCATGACAAATGGGCCTATAATCTTTCTCCTATGTGATGTGTCCATTTTTCCTTGTTAGCACTGCTGAGGCATAGTACAGGCCATGATAATTTATTTGTCTTAACCAATTGACTAATTGAACTAAGGTTTTATCATTCATAATGGGTATTGTAAATAATAATCTCATATTGCAGGTGGAGGTGAGCAACCCAGAGGGTGGTGGGAACCCATTTGATGAATCCAAGCTGGAAAGATGTCAGAGGCTGGTCCTCTTGGCTGCTGGGACTGGTTTCACCCCTATGGTTCGACTTCTTCTCCGTGCAATTAGGCATCCGTGTGTATTGAGTTCTTTTGTCTTCTTTACATGACCATGAGGACTTGTCAGAATTCATTCTACCATAAATGACTCACTGGTGACAGGGAGAAGCAGGTGTTATTGGTGTTATTCAATCGGACTAAAGAAGACATCATTTGGATGGAGGAACTTGATTCTCTCTCTCAGGTTCATCCCAAGTAAAAGTCTTCTGCTTTTCTTCTCGTCACTTCTATGGGCTTATGGCATGTTTGGTTTTCCTTTATGTTGTCCAACTCATGGCACAGCTTTCAAGTGGAGCATATCCTGAGTGAATCAAGTGGAGTATCATGGGCTGGGCATCGGGGTCGCATCTCCCGATCCCTCCTTGATCAACTCCTCCCAATTGTGGAGGAGGATCAACACCTCTTTATCTGTGTCTGTGGACCACAGCCTTTCTGCCAACTTGCCCATCAGTATGTCTGTATGCTCTATTATACATGCAACTGCCACTCTTTCCTGTTATAAGCAAAAAGTTTTTTGTCTTTATCAGATGCCTGGATGAACTTCAGTATTCCTCTGAGCAGATTCACATGTTCCAGGGCTGAGTGTCTTCCTGAGGGCTCTATACAAAAACCATATTTGCCCGAGGAAAGACAAAGACAGAAGAAAGTGGATCAAAACTCATCACAATTTTCATATCATGGAGAGTACTCCCTGTTGTCTGCATATTTTTCCCAACCACTGCACACATCATGATATTTCAAGTTGTGCTTAGGTGCAGGGGTTCACCTGATCATCTGTGGGTTCCAGTAACACCTCCATTTTTTACCATGACGACAATGAACTGAGGAGAGGAGAGGAGAAATGTTCTAATTTTATTCATCCTACCTTTTCACTTACCTGCTCTTTATTACATGCTTCACTCACTTATATTGAATGTTCACTTGACAAATATTGATAAATTCAATGCAGGATTAGCTAAATGTACTGTAATTCAATGTTCATCATGCACAGTGTCAATGATGCTCACAAAATTGTCAGAAAAGGCATTGTACATGTGAACTTTGTTATTGAGAATCTTATTATCATCTATTATTTAGAGTGGTGCTGCCATGAGCATGGCAATCATACCATTTGGCAACTTCATGTCACTGTTTTCTTGCAGCATATTATGTACACTGTAGAATGGGTGCAATTAGTGACTCCTGTCAGAAGAGACAAGGCCTTTCTGTACATTTTAATATTTGTTTCAGTGGCAAAAGTTTTAAAAGGCCTATGAGTTGCTCTGGAGTGAGAAGGTTTGGCAGAAGAGGATCATGCATGGAATATCAGCAAAAATATTGATTTCAACAAGAAAACTGGACACATGGCAAGTACAGGGTGTCCCAACGAATCGTAACGATTTGATTTTTTAATAACTTATTTCATTCTTCACTGATTCTGATTGCGTTTATATCCTTTTGTAGAAAATTTCAATAGAATTTAATTGACACCTAGTTGAGCTCAAATGGATAAATGTGAAAGGAATTACAACGGTTTCCGTGAGGTACACTTTTTTTTAATCGAAAAATAAGGTACATTTTGCAACCTATACCATTTATTGCAATCATAAAAAAAAACAAAATTTACGATGCGTAGGTAATCTCAATGTGTGCCCCATTATTGTCAATGTATCGCTGGAGCCAATATTCTCCAAGGTTTGAAGTTTTATCTGCCATGGAAAAATTGGAAGTAGCTCGTACAAAGATCGTGCAACTGTTCATCGCAAAAATTGGTGTCAATTTAGTGCTTGTTCCAACCTCCTGCAAAAGGTGACAAACTGACTTGGACAGGCTGCTCTGAATTATTATTGCTACTGCTGCTATGGTTTCTGGCGTTCGTGCTGTTCGCATTCGTCGTTGTCTTTTTGCATCATCCATAGATCCTAGATCAGAAACATTTTTGACGTACCGAAATATTGTTTTTGCGAGATGGCGCATCTCTAACTGCTATCTCATGTCGAAACGCACATTGTGCATGCATAATGGAGCCTGCTGCGAAGAAGTTCCACAATCCATGTACGATAAGCAACATCCTATTTTACTATAGCAGATAAAACTCCAAACCTTGCAGAATATTAACCAAAAAAAATTGTGAATGATCGGCAAGCAAATTTTTATTTTAAATTTCATTTTAGCTTTTATTTCATTAGTTTTTATTTAAATTGACACATTTTAAATGTGTCAATCTTCTCTGATACATTCTATATTTTTGGCTGCAGGCAAGTCTAAGATAGCTAGTGTTTTGGATATGAGAGTCCATGTGAATGAAACATGACCATTGTATGGCCCATTCCTCGTGATCAGGCGATGAGTTTCTGACCCAAAGAGGTGGATCTTTCATTTGCTACAAAGTGGCAGCTAGATCATAAAAAAATTAGAACAAAACCCACACTCAAATTGCCCCTGGAAAGTCGTGACATGAAGAGTTGTTAACCCTGTGTTCACAACGGTACTTTACGTAAAGGGGCTTTCTATCATTCATAATTCATCTTAGATCATTTGTAACCAAAACCATTGCAAGTACACGTAGAACTTGCAATGTTAGAGGAAAATGGAGTTATGTGGAATACTACCATATCCGAGCGGAGCCGACCGGCCATCTAGCGGTCGACATGCCAACTTCTTCCGACCCAGGTAATGAACAAATTACAGCATTTGTGCACAACGTCACTTCGCCATTTCACAGATATTCTTCATGGCTAATTTTTTCTTTTGAAAGGTTGACAAGATCCTAAACATCTAAAATAGTCGATGGTGAGTATTCAAGACTTTCACTGTTGTACAGGGTGCGGCAAAAAAACCTCCCAGATTTTAAAGGTTAACAAAAAAGGCATGGTAAATGCTATTCAAAATGTTATTACATAATCTAAAAGTGCATGAAATACAGTTTATTTTCAATTGGTTTTGAATATGATATCGCCCAGATGGTGGCCTTCATTTGCGATACACATTTGTAGTCTATTTCTGAAGTTTCGCATCACTCGGCGGGTCATTTCCGGCGTTATCGCTGCAATTTCTTGGCGTATAGCAGCCTTCAGTTCATTAATGGTTCTTGGTCGATGTTTGTAGACCTCAGCTTTCAGATGGCCCCAAAGAAAAAAATCACAAGGGGACGAGATCAGGCACTTGATCTCGTTACGCGGTGACGGTGGGTGACCTGCACGTTCACCCGATCTCGCCCCTTGTGACTTTTTTCTTTAGGGCCACCTGAAAGCTGAGGTCTACAAAAACAAGCGAACTGCTGCTTGGGCAACCTTGGCCAAAGTGTCCAGTGGGATTGCTGCACATGCATTTTCAATTTCTTCTCTAAGGGCCGCCAGTGTAGTTGGTCAAGATTGCCCAAGCAGCAATTTGCCGTACTAATAAATGTCTGGAAGCTAATGGCCACCACTTTGAGCACCTCTTGTAATTGTAGAGGCCAAAGGTAACTTGTATTAATCTCATGATGTCTGAATAAATTTAGTATTGAAATATTTATACAAGTTTTTCTTTTCCTGAAGTGTGTATACATTTTTTTTGGCGGACTCTGTATTGTTGAGCATTGTATTCTGATATCATCCCGTAAAAGCCGGAGTTCCATTCATACTTCTTTTAGATAGAAACATGATGCATTCAAAAGATTCTAATTATTTTTTCATGAGTCTACCTTAGTAGAGGGAAATGCTGATCGTGCCATGTTTTTGCTCGAGGCGTTTGCTTTATTTGTTTCAGACTCTTGGTGAAAACGGTCCAGTATATAAAAGAATACATTTGTGGGGTTTTGTGATTTCTGTTTCGATAATCCCCTTAAAGACTTCTTTATGTTCACCAACTTTTAGGTGCTGTTTTTCAAAAGTGGATCCACCAGTGCAGTATGGGTGGTGACAAATACAGAGGCTTTTTTCGAAGTATGAACTAAGGTTGAATGATGTGCCATTGTTAGTTTTCCAGAATTAAGAAACTAACGATCAGAACTTTTGGAATGCACCTCGTACATGTACATACGAGGGTATACGTGAACGAAAATGAAAACACACACGCATATATATCTTATACACGTGTCTTTTCATTTTTGAGACATTTTCGGTACTCTCCTTGCTTGATTCACGCACTCCGTGTTGATGTTCACATTGTAGCATAGATCTGAAAGAACTCGAATGATTTATCGCGTCTCAAATGACATGCAACAGAACCCCTTCCGTGCGACAGAAGATAGTCCTCACAGTCCGGTCACTGAAAGCTTTTAAATGAACCGTTCTGGCGGGACAAGAAGGCGAACGCAAGCGGAGAACATCATAGATGGCGTCGTCCCCACTCTTCCTTTCTTGCGCTTTCTCGTCCAACTCAAACTGCTGAGACCCCTTCGAACTGCCCTGATGGAATCATTTCTCTCTACCCCTGGCATACCACGCACCGGAAAGCCGACACTAATAACGCGTCGATACTATCTAATTATATAAATCTGGACTTAATTTGTTCAACTCCTCTTTGTCAAGTATTCCTCATTTAGTTTTGCTATTTCATGGCGCTCGAGGCTGAATTTGGGCTTCGTCCTAAAAAGAAAAGAACTTGTACTGTGTTGGAATGCATTTACATAGACCTATTCGTAAAACCCAATAATGAAATCTTGCAACCATGACCTGTTTACACAGGATATCTACGTGAATAGAAGGCGTGAAGAATGAACCTACAATGTATACATGATTCGGGTCTACAAAAGGAGTATGGCATGAAATTGTTCAATCGGGTCCACCGGCGCCATGAGTGCCAATAGATAGATCTCGACTTGTGAAATGAAATGTCTTTGAGTTCGACCAGTGGCATAGCGAAGGGGAGGCTGGGGCCGGGCTTCAGCCCCCCCAAGTTTGGTTCAAGCTCCTCCAACTCTGGTATAAATGGTCCGCCATCCCCAACCCTCCCCCAAAGGAGAAGTAAGGGGAATTTCAGCCCCCCCCCCCCCATTAGCGAGATCCTGGCTACGCCACTTGGCTCGACCTAAATTTATGCACGAGGTCGAGAGTTACCGTACAGGCGAAACTTTATAGTAAAATAGATGAGCAGAAGGAGCGCCATCGGGAATCACTCAAGGCTTCACCTAAGAAGTGAGCTTGAGCGCCTAAGGCGTCGTTGAACTCCATAGTCATCCTTTGTGAGTGCTTGAACTTCTCAAGAGAGTCCGCATCAACTTATGGGTTGCAAAAGCCTTCACCTCCCCGTTTCAATGTTTCCTGGATAACGTCAAGAGACCGCATGGCGAATTTCCATTCAATTAAATGCCGAGAAAGATTGTACCCTAGATTGTATAGGTTTTGGCTTGTAACTCCTGACCTTGGGCACAAATGGGGTTGACCCCGTGAGCATTTTTATTCGATTTGTCGAGATGCATGTAATGAGGATCCATGCCAAAACATCGATATCAAAACGACAGAACATCGACTGAGAGCTTCAGAGATATCAGTTCAGATCACGACAGTGCTATAGGTAAGTTTTTTAGCAACAATAATGTCTACGCCGTTGTAGTTCGTCCTCACAGAGCTATTCACCACTGCGGCATTTATAGAAAACTCAACTTAAATTGGAATCCAGGCTGAATCACCGAAACACGATGACATTTCCCCACAGTCTGGCTAGCAACTGATCAACTGAGTTTTTTTTAATATTTTTATCTGGGTTATCTTTTACCTGGAAATTTTCCTGCGGAGTCGTTTTATATTCTTAAGTAGCCCCCAATTCCACGGCTCCTGGGGTCTGTTCCTCGCCTATGCTAAACTTAATCTAAGTCTAAATCTAAATCTAAATATAAATATAAATCGTTTGCTTTTAGGCTGCTTTAAGAGTAGATTAAGTTTAGATTTAGATTTAGATTTAGACTAATATTTAGCAGAGGTGAGGAACAGGCCCCTGGTCTTTTTTACCTCCTTTGTTCTTACCGCCTTGCTCGAATATCCTAGCCATAGTTGGCCACGTGGTCTTCCTTTAGCCTTACCTTTACTTGACTTCCTTATGGTTTCCAGCCCATCGGATATGGCAATTCCTTTAAGTGGAGGTCGGCCGCACGAAGACGATTGCATCTGTCCTCCGTGGGGAGAAGATTTAGTTCATCTAGTAAGTTCTTCCCACTCACCTCATTGTAACATTTGACCTAAATCCCTGAACGTAGGAATTCCCTTCGCTAGGGGTAGTATTCCTTTTATAAGGGACAGCCTCGTCAGATATTTGCATAAGTACGATAATGTACATGACGGTCATTTAAGAAAGTCAGAAATATTTTTCCTAATTTTTGTCGCTTCGATGTTTTGACGGTGTTGTTCTGACGCGATACCATGAGAACTATTACGCGAGTGGACGAGATCGGACAATTCGCCACAGGGTTTCCGTCTTATTCTTTCGGTAATGAAACGCAGATTCACGCATTGTCACGATGTCCCAATGTGCTTCATACGATCGCCCTAAGTCACTTCCATATTGGAGGGATGCTCGAGCCGTTTGTGGAACGCTATTTTTTAATTTGCGTCGGAAGCATGGGAAAACAGGTTCTACGAGGTCTGTCAATAAAGTTCCAGGACTGATTTTTTGTGAGACTGTCAACATCACAAAAATTATTTTCATTCCTTGGACTGAAAGATTAGACTGTTGGGCAGTGTTGTGTCAGCCCTCATCTAACTAGCATCTTGAATGAGAGTTTGGCTGACAATGTAGCAGCTCAGTGTGTAAGGCATCTGTCATAGTCCCAGAGTGAAGCAATGCTTCATCACATTTTGTCTCAAACCGATCAATACAGCTACAGTAATCTATGAAACGTTGTTGAAGTGTCTAGAAAAGTTCCTTGTTGTGCTCCAATAATTTTGAATGACCTTCAAGGCCTTTAAAAAGTAGTGAAGACACTCAGATCCACCTCAACCCCAACCATCACTGACCACTCATCCAAGTGATGGCTGAATCAGTCATTATTTTCAATTTCATTTCTACTGGCTGAAAGCCTTGAAAACTATTAAAGATTCTTGGAGTATGACAAGACAACTTGTCAAGACACTTCTTGCAACATTTGATAGAGCTGAATTTCTGGATTGAGACAAAATGTGATGCTTCACTCTGGGAATATGACAGACGCCTTATGCACTGAGTTGTTAAATTGCCAGCCAAATTATCATTCAAGATGCTAGTTAGATGAGGACTAATACAACACTGCCCAACAGTCTAATCTATCAGTCCATGGAATGAGAATAATTTTGGCGATATTGACAGACTCACAAAAAAATCAGTCCTGGAACTTTATTGCCAGATCTCGTATGATGTTTGGTTCAAATTTTATGAGATATTTATATACTGAAATGATAACTGGGACACCCCATACTTGGCTGGGGGGCTTTACTATTTAGATCAGTGTGTAGCATGATGTGAGGTGAGTACATGTACTAAGCACTTAATTTGTGTCTCCAGAGGTGGCCATGCAATTTCGGAATCAATACCGGGAAGGAGAGTATCCTCTGCTTGTGTGTACTGATGAGGCCTGGGAACACTATAGTCATCTGCTCTCTAATGCATCTGTGATAATTCACTTTGATGTACCTGTAACCAAGCATCAATTTGGTCTCCGGTTTCTCAGTGCACATGCGAATTTTCCTTGCCAATTTGGCAAGGATGCTCCAGAAAAAAAGGTGAGCATTCAGACCCATCAGAAATTTTGAATGGCATAATTTATTTCAATTTATAGAATCCTTTTATTCTATTCTCAGGTCTACGGTTGCACATCTCACATCATGCTAAGTCATCAAGCAGATCCAATTCTTCATTCAATGATGAAATATCTGACTCGTGTCAGGGCTACCATCCCCCATTCCCTCCAAGTAAGGGACTGAGGGAGTTTTCTGATATGTTTAAAACTTTCATTAATCCAAAATGCTCTCTGACTTTTAGGACCATCTTGAGCATCTTGAACAGGCATCATCTTCGCACATTCCCCTTTGCAAGACCCTCCTCCAGTATGGCAAGTGTGTCTTGCCTCTTACGTGTAATCAGAGGCATAGGATGTTCAAAGAGGTCGATTCTCCAGAGCCTTCCCTCCCCAAGTATGGCAATATAGTATTTTTTGTCATTTTCTCACTCTAAATTCAAAAATTACATTAAATTTTCTTAGAGGTAATAATGTTCTTCTAATATACCATTCCAAAAAAAAAAAACTGAGTGGTGGTGTATCCCCAGCTGGGAATGAGATTATTGCCTGGAATCCTGAGCCCCATTTGTAGCAAAGCTACTTATGGCAATCCTATGATTGAATTTATTTCCTAGCAAGAAGGGGAATAAGACAGGATCATTGGGAATGTTTGAGACAGGAGCCAAGAAAGGCCAGTCAGCCTTGGTGCTCAGGATCTGTTCAAGCAAATGCCTTCTCCTTACCTTGCCTTCACTGCTTATATATATATTTTTTTGGAAAGGTATATGCATTATCAGAAGTAAATTTTTTTTTTCATTCCATGAGGATCTGTGAAGCATGGTTTGCCTTCATTCGTACTATCATATTTTTGTGACCTAAAATCTAGAGAAGTCTAAATTTTCCCATTCACTCTCTTCCAAATAGATGAGAATACATTAGTGGTGTGATAGCATTGTCCTGATGTGTTTTTAGAATGAGTTCTTATGATTATGGTATTGTGATGATGTCTTCCAAAATTGAACATTCAGGGAACTCAGACCATGTATCTTCATGTGCTTGGTCGTTTTGTTTGACTTAGATATTTACCATTTATAGAGTTCAATTAAGAGTTATTACTTTGGGAATGTCTTAAGAACTTGTGTTATGAGAAATATGCCATATGTGGGATGAAGTATACTAAGACCAGCTGAAAAATTATTGGCCTAAGTAGGAAGGAGTAAGCATAAAGCAATCTAACTTCGACACTTCTCAATGTAGTTCCCTTGGACGTGTATGCGTTACAGCATAGTATGAAATCAGGCATTTGATATAGGATACCTAGATTTTCTATACATTATATGAATTTTATACTCTTACTGTAACATATGCACTTATTCCACTGGTGGTAAAAAGCCATTATGCCATTCCTATGGAACAGGGATCAGGAACCTTTTTGGCCATGTGAGCCATATTAAGATTGAGATAAGTGCTTGTGAGTGAAAGATTTTCAGAATAACAGAATTTTTCCCGAAGTTGGCAACAGACATATGCATTCTTTGATACATGAGAAATATGAGGAGCAACCATGTTTTTCAGCCATGACTTGATGAGCCAAACTTGGCTCATGAGCCATTGGTTCCTGACTCCTGCTGTAGAATTATACTTCCTGCTTGTTGCACCAGTCCCTCATAACATTTACAACCTATCCATCAATGTTAACTTTTTTGTCACAAAGGTGCTTCCTCATCTGTGGGATGAGGTGAGTCAAAAGGGACTAAATTTGATGAGTATGGTGGATGGACAAGCAGTTCAAAGCCACAGTCTCTGATGGCATTCAATGCAACACATGACATTTGTGTGAAGGCAGTTTTCATAAGTACTTGATCTTCAAAACAAAATGTTTAGGAAAAGAAGAAAATGTTGGTATCTCAATGAAATTTGGTACCTGACAAGTATAAATAGTTTCACACTCAAAAATGTTTTGGCTATATTGAACGCCCCATTCCCAGGTAGGCCGATGACTTTTCAGCTGGCCCTCGTATAAACTCTGAAGAGGGGGAAATTAATTGGGGCTATACTATGCTCCCATAAATAAAATGAAGGAAAGGACAAAAGAGGAAGCTACCATTTGTGCAGGAAAGAGAGAAGTGAGATCCAGACTTGCTTATACAGGGTGGGTGCTAGACCTTAGCTTCTCCTACCATAGCCAAAGCAAAGCTATACATATATAGCCAAGGTATACATATTTCTGAATTTAATAAAAATATGAATTCCTCATTTTTAGAATAGGATTGATGTATTTTAGTATGAGTTACCAATATGATCAGGCAGGACAGTGTTGATTCACTCAGCAATTCTTGCATAGCAAGTACCTTGATGCAAGATGCCAAAAAAAGGGGGATGGTCATTTCTAAATATCTTGGACTGTCATTTCATCCCCTTGTAATCTGGAAAATATTTTGGACATTCAGGAGGTGATTCTTCGCTATTCAAAGGCCTAAAATTGATCCTAGATAATGCCTTTGATTAAAATATCAACCCAGGAGGTTAGACCATTGAAAAGACTGATGAAAGGAGAAGGAGCTGGATCAGGCTGCCAAGCATGAAACAGATGGACTTGCTTGACAGACAGTCTTTGCTTCAAGATAAAGAAAAACCTGTATGATAAGGACAAGGTTCTTTTTTTTACTGTAGGGAAAAAGCAGGTTTCATTTTTGTGAAGCAAGTTTCTGGCTCATGTAATCATGATAATTGGTTTGAGTATATTTTTTGCCTGTGAGTATGTTGATGACAGTTTCCAACATTTGGATTGGGTGCTATGCCATAAAACAGATTGTCAATATGTTACAATGGGGAGAGAGAATCAGCTCATAGTCTTCACCTTGGCCTTGCAACACTGAAACTCAACATCACCAACAATTCACTTCTACTTTTGTGGCACTGTTTTATGCAATAGATGTTGGAGGTAGAGAAAATAACTGACCCCTTGAGTTGAGAGGCTGTGATATCCATTTTAAACTAACTTTGGTTGGCAAGGTCTACTTCATGTTCTACCCTCCCCCTACTGCTCACTCTCACTTGAGCCATTGTGTAGATGTGGAGACTGTTTCAGTAAATCAGAACCTTTATCCCAACAGGGACTACCCAGATAGACACAGATGTAGGCTTAGCCCTTGTTTCTCATCAACCACATTCTGCACCATCAGGTATTTGGGCTACCTCAGGATCTGGCCTTTTGGTCATGCATCGTGGCAGGAAGGGTGTTGAATATATTTAGGATGGTATTATACTGTCATTTCAATTTGCACAATGGGGAAGGAGTAGGCAACAACTAGACAGTTCAAGATAAAATGCAAGTGAAAATCTTGGAGTTATTGCCCTTTATATAAAGCATATACTATCATATGTGATAGTGCGTGGATAGGCTCCATTTTTTTAATATCTGGATTTTAAACTTGGAATACAAGTGCAGTTATGTCTACCTGGGATTTCATGATGGTTGTATTGAGAGTGGTTGGTGACTGTCCCTGCAGGGATGGATATGTGCTGGCAAGAGTCACCCAAGTTGTGTCTAGCTCACACTACTATGCTCACCTCTTGATGACCCTTGACCTACAGGGGAGCACTGTAAACCTGGGCTGGCAGGCCGACCACTTTGCTATGAAACTCAACTTCTATTTTGCAAAAGCTGAAAACAGGTCTGCTTGCTTGCAGCTGCAACTTGAATGGAGACTTGAGAAAAAAGTCTGGATCTGATTATATGCAGTTTTGTGTGCCAGCAGGATTGAGGTCTTGTATCCCAGTGTGGGATCATTGTGTGCAGTCAAGCGGGGCAAGACAGAAGATTTTGTGAGAGCCAAGGTGCTGGCAGTTGGGAAGGTGGATCTCCCATCAAGTACCAGGGTCAAGCTCTTCCTTATTGATGATGGCACCATTGAGAATAGATGGGTAAGTTGAATCTTTTGCCTATATTATTTCCAGTGAAATGGTGTGTAAGCTATTTTCTATTCAACCCCAGGTTTCTGAACTGTACTCCCTGCCAACTAAATTCACAATAGTTCCTCCATTGGCTGTGTCCATTCATCCATGCAATATCTCCCCTCTGGACAAAGACTGTGATTGGACCCCTGCAGCTGATACACTGGCTGGTGAGAGCCTTCTCCAACACCTCATTCTTGGCAAGGTAGATCCTCCTTCTTCCTGAAGGTCAGGCTTCAGATTGGGGCCAATCAGATACCCTTACTTACTCATTTGTAGATGAGACTGTGCATTTCAAGTGAGATGTGGCTCCATCCACTCAAGATCTGTCTGTCAGACAGTGAAACAAAGATTGAGGAACATGTGAGGCAGATGGGTATATTCTCTGATCTTCCCCAACTCCTTATATCTCAGCAGCTTGCAAATGAGAGTTCAAGCCACTTGTCAACTATTTGTGATCTGGCCTCAGCTGCTGGCATTCCAATGCCTCCTTCAGGTTACTGAAGGCATTCCAATGCCTCTTACCTAGTTTTCAGAGCAGGGTAACAAGTACCATGAGTGTAAATCTATTATCTTCTTGTCAGGACCTGAGAAGGAGAAGCAGTTTGCAACGTATGAACAGGCATTTTTAGACCCCTACATGATGTATCATGAGGTCTACCTTACTGAAGTGGTTTCTCTTAATTGCTTTTATGTCAACAGGGCCGATCTATTCAAACTGTAAGTCAGGTACCTAGAAACTATACAGCTTGCATGTTGTGAAGGAATGTTTTTTTCTTGATTGGTTACTTTGCTGAAGGGTATTGAACATGGAGGATGACCTCCAGAAGGAGGCTAGTAAGTGGAGGAAGGAGAAATTGAAGAAGACCATTCAGATTGGGCAGCCCTGTGCAGTTTTCACCCCACAAGATGGTGAAGAAGGAAGGTCAATATGATGTCAATTGCACTTCTTTTATACACATTGTTCTTCATGGTTTTTATGATGTGTCATGATTTTTCTGAAGGTGGTATCGAGGGAGGGTGAGGGAAATGGCTGAGGATATTTGTCATGTTTTTATGGTGGATTTTGGATCTCCTGCTTCCTGTCCATTGGAAGATGTGGTGCCTTTACCTTCCAATTTTGTCACTCGTCTTCCTGCCCAGGTGATGATTATTAAACCTTTTCTTTTCTTTGGATTTCTTATTGGTCTGTTAATGGGATGCCATTCCTTTGTAGGCCATTGAGTGTCAATTAGCACATGTGGAGGTGAAGGATGGCAGAGATGAAGATGCTCGGGATTTATTGTGGAGCATGGCTCAGGAAGGAGACCTGCAGATGAAGTTTACCCTCAAGGTTATCCATTGCTCTCAAATTAGTCATCATGTCAATTCTAGAATCAAGTTTCTGTACATTTATTCAAAGGTGCCCTTGATGTAACATTCACCCCCTTTGTGACTTGAAGGTTTTGGAGAAGAATATCAAGTCTAATACAGGTATGCCTAGTTATGTAGTTGAGGTGTTTTTTGAAGAAGCACCTGAAGCACGTTCCATCTGCAAGGAGTTTGTGAACAGAGGTATGATTTATTTCTCCCATTTTGGACTCTTGAAATGCTCTCATGCTTTCATCCATACATTTTGGTATACAGGTCTGGTTGAGTACACAGATGCTGGGCCAGGGACTCCCCCATTGATGGAAACAGGTCTGGACTCAGACACAGACAATGTACTTGAAGCAAGAAGCACATCTGAATATGAGGGGGATGAATCCAGTGTGTGTGAAGAGCAGTCATTGGAGAATATCCATCAGAATGACACCACTGACTACACCCAATCCATTTCCATGACTGATGATCTTGATCTTAGGATGATCAACTCAAAGGAAATAGATGTGGATGAACTCTTTGTCACAAATTTTATGGAGAAATTCTGTGGAAAAAAAACAGATAAAGTGGGGAAGATAAATTATTGTTATGAGGCAATGTTCTTGGCAAATTTTTCATGTCTGTTTCTGATTGTCTGCAGAAGCATGTGAAGGCCTTGCCTGCACCAGAACCAAATGTGTGCAAACTAGAAAAATGTGGGACTGTGAAAGAGTTGAAGAAGGCAACTGATTTGAAGACAGAGACGAGGAATTTGGTTCAGCCTATTCCCATGCGAAGGGTATCTCGTCCTCCAGGCATTCCACCTCTGGGAATCATCAAGAATTCCCCTTCAGACTACTGTCAGTCACCAAGAGTAACATGGGGTCAGGATCGATGTCATTTGTATATGCAATTTGATCTCCCTGTTGTGGACTTCCACCTCATCATCAAGACTCAGGCAATAGCATTCAGGTAGTGTTGGAATTTGCTTGGGTCTACATAATTCTTTGTATTGATAATGTATGGATGTCTTCTTTTGCATTTCTAGTTCAATATTTATTATTTTGTTTTGTCATATTTTATTTTCCCATTTCCTCTTTCTGTCAATCTTGTTTTTTCTTTCTTAGGGCAATATATGAAGATAACTTTTATGAGGCTGAGCTGAAGCTGTTTGGATTCATTGATCCCCAAGGATCCAAAGTGGAAGCCCATGGCCGTTGCATCCAGCTCAAAACACCTAAACTCAGATGTGGTAATGGCCTCTTAGATTATTTGGAGAAAGAAAAATTATATACACCTAACTGACTACTGGATACCTCTGTCAGCCAGAATAACTTAATCTTTATTAGGTGTGAGATGGCCTAATCTTGTGAAGGGTCCCAGGAAGCCAGGTTTTTTGCACCCAGATCCAAATTTGGGAGATCTCAGTGATTCTGAGAGTGATGGATTGGAAGACCTTCCTGAAATCTCTCCTGAAGAATGTCAACGCCTTGATGGTCAGAACTCTTTTCACATGTTCATAAATCTGGCATTAAAACTTTGTCTATTCCAATGGTTTTCTTTTTGGATTAATACTCCAGCCACAGTAAAGCTTCCAGATTTTGATCAGAGGGCTGGTGATACTCTGAAGCTTCAGAATATTGGACCTGATTTCTCCTCTGATGAAGATAGACCCAGTGAGGGAGCATCTTCAGATGAGGATCTTCGAGATGAAGGCCATGAAGGAGAATTTGTTGAAAGACACCTTTTTGGCTGAGTTCTCTTTCATTCTTGCTGTTTCTCTTCAGCTTTGCCAAAGCATTGATTCTGTTGCTTTTTTCAATACACTGTGATTGAAGGTAGCTTGGTATGCAAGCAAGTATTACCTCTACCATTGACTGTGTAATAAATATCTTGCCTACCTGATATAAGTAACAAAACTAGAGAACTCCAATTTGAGCTGAAGTGGCTCTTTCTCCAATTGATTTCCTCCCATTGCAGCCTTTTAATAACAAAAATGCAATATTTTATTTTCAGAATGCTCCAAAAAAGATAAGGCTACTGTAAGTTCATTTCTGGGTGTATGGAATGCAATGCCAGGGAATTGGATTATGTATGTAGGAACAAGAAACCCTTACAAGGATCTATTTTGACAGCTCATAGAGTTTCTTCCAGAAGTCTTCAATATATATTGAGGAGTAACATCTTCCCTGCAACAAAGTTAGTTTTCCAGTGACTTATGTGAAGGTTTCTGCTGCATGCACATAGTACATTCTAATACTGGTTTGTCAGGTGCACTTCCCCTGTTCCAATAGACATTCATTGGTTCTCCTGAGGGAGAAAGTTGAATGACTTTGCTTATGCGAAAGTCATTTAATTACGCATAAGTTTGCATATGCAGCACAATTATGAAAAAATATCCGATTGAAAAATCAGTCAGTTGATGAACACGATGAAGGCTTTGATACAGAGGGTAATTATAAAGTCAGTTGGCTGGTGTATAGCACTCTACCATGACAACTATGCTAGCATGAAACTTGGGGAATAATGTCAGGACACAGGGATGTAGCCAGGAATTCTTTGCATGGGACTTCCTGTGGCTTATTTCTGGTGCATTATCAGACAGAGTTAGTGAAGTAGGATGGTTAGTTTGGAGAAATTAAGGAAATTCAAGAAGCCTTTTGCTCATTTTGGCAGCTCTCTATTTTTAGATACTATTTTATTTTTTCTGCATCACATCTGAATGAAAGTGGGAGGATTGGTTTCACCTTTTGATGGATGGGTTAGTTGAAAAAAAAAAAGAAGCTGAATGGTTGTATCAAAAAATTATTGGAACCCAGGAGTTTAGCCATGAAATTTGACATAAGTAGGTCCAGTGCAGTAACCAGGCATATTAGAGCTTCATTTAAGTGCTTTCATCAGTCAAAAGTTGGAACCATTGGAAAAGTCAATACTTTGGTATGTTATGCCTTTTTTTTATATTTCCCATAAGCTGCAGAAAGTTACCTGACAATTTTCCATTGACATAACTCAACCCAAGTATGAGTAAGTATAAGTTCTGGTTAAAGAAATGCTCATCATTACCATCACAGTTAATTTTTAAGGCAAATGAAAGCCTTTGTATGCAGAAAAGTTTATTGTACTTTAAATGATTGGACTGTTGGTCTCCTTTGGGAGTGTCTTCTCATCTCTCACAGGATACAATCCCTCCCTCCCTCCAGTAAGGCTAAGCTCAATGAGTTCTCATTCACTATGCTTGAAAGTGCATTTAAAGTGCAACTTTAAAGTAAACTACTTTGTGACTTGTTTCATGAAATCTTGCCTCATTTAACTCTCCCCCCTTCCCAGCTACATCCATTTCAGGACATCAAGGAAAGATCATTGCATGAAAGGAACACATGCTTTACAGGGGACGCAGTTGGTTTGATGCCATTTGTGTACATAAGAGGTTCAGTTATAGGATGAGCATATGGAAGACAGCTGCAAAGCACTATGCCAGAAGTGCCATCTCTGAATTGAATCCCTTCAAGTGATGATATGGCAAAAGTGCCATTTGCTGCTTATAGGTCAATATCCTACAGAACCTCTTAAGCACTGATCATTTGTGGTTTTACTGCTGCCTTTTATATGCCTATCCAATAGATGCACATCCTATGCATACAAATGACATCACATCTGCAGTGCTCCCTGTAAGACATATTTCTTTTGTATGACATCCTCCCCATTATGTCCTGACACAATTTTATTATTGAGCAATCCAGGATATGAAAGGGGATGACCCTATGAACTTCCAGTGGTCAGTGACACAGAACCCTTCATGTATTCTTTCTTCCATGTGCTTCAACTCTTCTGTAGCATCACTTTCCAAGGCTTTACTGGAGAATCAATGTTGCTCATCTTTGCACTTGAGAGCCTCAACTTGCTGTTCCTGGATCAATCCAATGTTCTCTGTCACATTCAAATCGGAGGAGCTTCCACGCCATTCTGCATTTTCAAAGAAATATTTGAAGAATTCTTGTAAGCCATGATTGGGAATTTAATTCTGAAATGTAATTTCAGATATGTGATCCATATTTCTACATCTTTTTTCACTATCATTTGGCATCTACAGCAACAAAATGGGACTGAGTGGAATCAAAATTGAATGAGGATTCCAAAAGCATCCTTATTTTTCTAGCTTTTACACTTTAGGCTTGGGGGAATGCCTGGTAAATCCACTGTAGAATCTTGATCTCATTGTGTACCCTTTGCATCTTGTGTTGTGTATCCCTTGCTGGTAATAACTTGATATGAATCTCAAATGCTTAAATTCATCGCTTTGCATACTGATATTCCATTCAGATTGTCTAGTACAATGATCCTTCAGCTTTCTCGTTATTGTAAGCCTTACCAGGAGTGTTTGTTATCTATTGATTCTCTGTACTTTATACATCTTTCCTTTTGTTTTTCTGTTTAAAAATATTTACTTTACCATATTTGTTATCACAAGGAGCCTTGCAGAGGGAGGTACTGCAACAAACTGCTGGTAGCTTGTATGTCAGTTAGCACTGTGATAGTTTGTGACATGTTCAGTACTTATCATCAGGCTTTTTTGTGGCTTTCTCAAAGTCCATGGAGAGCTTGAGAAGCCTGACTGTGGTTAGTGTTCAGGTAATCAGAGCCTTACTTGACTTCATAGTGATATTTTGTATGACTCCCAAACTGATTTAAATGAATCAAAATTTATTAGGATAAAAGTGTGGATTGAAGTGAAGTGAAGTGGAGAGCGTTTGAAACCTTTTTCACCACGTTTGATCAGTTACTCTATTAAGAATACTCTTAGGAGTATTCATGACTGATGGTTGATGTCCTAGTCTTCCATTTTCAATATTTCACCCATCATCCCTCCTTACCACTTTGCTCAAGAACCAAGATTTTATGCATTTGAAAGTGAATCCCATACCAATGTGTTCATCCATCCTTGTTTTTTCTTTGTTGCTTCAATCTCCTGTCATGAATTGTGTTTGATTCCTCTCTTTTCTTCACATTCTACCACTTTGTATGGTGTGGTCCATAATTTTGTTGTTGTCATGATTGTAGTTTGATCTGTCTTCATTCATGTTGCTGCTTCTTTTGCCATTGTACTTGAGATAAATTCATGAGTTCATGTTGAGGTTATTTTGTATTCTTTGTGGAGAATAGAAGAAACTCCCAATTCCAGTGATTGCTGCCCTTGCCATTTGGTAAAGGTGGGTGATGCATAACCCCATTTAGCGAGTATATAATTGTTGGAACTGGGACATATAAGTTATGACATTTTTTTCCAGCAACTGTTAAATGTATGATGAACATTATGAAACTAATGTTGTAAAAATGCAAAAATGAACTTGAAAAAAGAAATATGCAGGCTTCATTGATGAGACACAATTTATCTTCTATGTGCCTGTTGTTTTACTCTCTCTATGCATTATTTCTACAGAGGAGATAGAAAACCTCAAATGTTGCTATGATGACATTGACCAAGAAATCAGGAGACATAAAAGTGAAAAAGATCAGTGAAGGGTCTTTAGTGGAGCTTCCACCTGTTTTTGCTGCCAACAACTCGTGAGTTGAAGCTTCCTTATCCTGTGGATGCCTGTTAGTGTTTTTTATATTAATCTGATGTTCTTGTTACAGATACATATTGTTGGCTTGTGAGGAAAGTGTCAAAATCTACTCCACTAATTCATGTGAATTAGTAGGTGAGTTGCAACAAGGAAGTCACATTGTGGCCTTGCATGTGCATCATCACAATCCCCAGCAATTGCTTGTATGCTCTGCTGATAGAAGAGTCATCACCTGGGATTTCATCAATGGAGTAAGAGTTCATGTAAGTCTCCTTGCATCCCTCTTTTTCTCTTTTCATAAGAACAGGGCTTTTATATTCTATGACCATGTTAAAACATTCACAGGAATGTGCATTACACCTGGAGGAGAATCACAAACTAGTGAACTTCATGGTACGGTGGAAGGATGACACATGGTATGCCAAAGTGCACAACAAGAAGCGTGGTTCCAAACTTCAAGTCCTGGCTTTATTGGGAAAGAAGGAAAAGAGCCTCAAGCCCATCACCATCCTGAGTGATATAAATGATGTTCCTCATGCTCTTGCTTTTGGGGCTCATGATGACTTCCTTGCAGGAATCAGTGGAAAGCGACTCTGTCTTCATTCTTTCAAAACTCAGGACAAGAGATTGTGAGATGTCCCTTCATTTCTTAAAGTCAGTTCAATATTGTATTATGGATGATTTATTTTTATTTTGGGATGCCATAGTTACTTCTCTGGTGACTTTGACTTGACATGCATTGCATGCCATCCATACCAGCCAGTGGTGGCTACTGGGAATACCCTGGGTCGCATTATCATCTGGAATGACATCTGGGAACAGCACTATGTTCGCTATTATGTTCACTGGCATCATCTTCCTGTCAGCGATCTTGCCTTCTCAGTTGATGGTGAGCCTAAATTCTGTCAGATTGTGCATTAACACTTCAGAGAAGCTTTTTCAAATTTTTTTGCCATATGATAGGTACTTTCCTGGTCAGTGGTGGAGCTGAAAATGTCCTGGTAAGATGGCGGCTGGAGGATGAGACAAAAGAATTCATCCCAAGAATGGGGAGCCCTATTGTCCATATTACTGTGGCACCTGACAATGCCTTCATTGCTATTGCACATGAACTCAATGGTCTGAACCATTTCTCTCCTACATACCTAATCTATTTACATGAAATATCTGTAAGTTGACAGCTTTCATACAAAGATTGATTTTAGGTCCTTTTCCACTCCCTGATAATGAGGATCCCTTACAGTGCTTGCCATCATTTGAAATATTGATGCTATAGCTGTGACACTGGTGAGTGGGAATCTGACTGTGGTGGGGAAGATCCAGGGGCTTTTACAACGAGTACATTGGTCAGAAGAGCAGCCTTGTGTCAAACCTATGGCAGTTGGATTGAGGTCAGACCCCAGGTCTCGGTCTCTGGTTCTCAATGGCATCCCTGGTCATCTCCTCTTTTATTCTCCTGAGCTCCAAAAATGTCTCTTTCATGTCTGTTCCTTCATTCATCTTCTTTTACTGAATTGTCCCAGTTTGTTTTAGTATGTTTTGGGTATATTTCTCAGTTGGATGTGACAGGAGTGAATCAGCTGAACAAGCAGGAAGGAGCACTGATCATCAATTCCGAGGTAGAGCATGCATGTTTTTCAGATGATGGATCTCACCTAGCCACTGTAGAGCGACGGGATGATGGTCACAACACTCCTGAGATTCGACTTAAATTCTGGCTCTTCCGTCCCCATGTTGGCACGTGAGTGAGGAATATGAAAAATCATAGTGCAGGAAAAGCACTGACAGATGTACATGTTAATTTTTCTCATTTAGATATGAGATGAGCACACAGATTGAATATCCCCATTGGAAGCCAATGCTGGCCTTGGCATTTTCAGGAGGAAATAATCCAGAATCATGTGCAAGCATCAGTCAAGATGGCTTTGTCAAGCTTTGGCTTCATGAGATAGAATCAGTTGAAGGTATTGTTGAGCTGCATGTAAAAAATAGTGGTGTTCAATATGTATGACAAACAAAAGTAGTCCTGAATTCATAAAAATGGAATGTATGCTGATTTACCTCTTGTTGGACAAAACTAAAATTTGGAAGATGCTGCTATTACACACTTATGGGTTGTCTGGAGAAACAATTTGACCAGATTGTCAGTTATGGCAAGATTATGTTATGAAAATTCTTTAAGCATCAGAAAATCCTAATGCATATTGTAATTCATTTTAAATTGCAGGAGAAGAGGGAGAGTATTGGACATATGGCCCAAAGGCATCATATTGTGATTGCATCCCAACGTGTCTGTCATACAGTGATGATGAGAGTCTGTTGGCTGTTGGTTTTGGCTCAGTTATCTCTCTGTTCCATACTCCCAGTCTTGAGAGGCTAGCCTGCCTCTCTGAATCCCTGGAGCTTGTTCAGTAAAATTTTCTACTTTCACATTTGTTCCAATTTTTGTTGATGTTCTTGAAGACAAAGTTGAAGTCAGACATTCTATTGGATTGCCAACAGAGAAGTGAAATTTGGACGGATGGAGTGTGGTCATCGACTGGCTGTGTCTACAGAAAAGCATCTATATGTGTGGGACATCCCATCTCTCTCGATTGCCTGGAAGGTTCCCTTGTGTCCCCATCTTATTGTCTCCAGCTCTTCATCTCCATTTATGGCCCTCTTTGCCATGCCTTCTGATGGTATTCAAACTTGACATTCCTTGTCTACTTGTTATTCTTAAAATCCCTTTACACAAATATCACATATATCACAAATGCTGTCCATTTTCCCCCCCCCCCCATTTCTTTTATAGTGTATGTGTTCACACTTGTGAGTGAAAAGCCAGTGTTTGCAGAGAAGAAAGTACTACCAGAAGGAAAGACAGTTTTGTCGGCTGTATTTTCACCATATTGTCCAAAGAGGGATGACAAGAAACGAAGAAAGACACCTCTCTGGATGCAAGAAGAGACTCTATTTTTCATGTCGTCTGATCAGGTATTGCTCATGTAAATTTGTCTTGACATCCTGCTGGCAGTGACTCAAGACCTTGTTAACATAAAATTAGGTGAACTGATGTAAAAGTGATACAGTGGATTCTGGTAATACTCTTCTCAATCTTGTAAAAAGGCAGTGAGTAGATGTGAAATTTGACTCAGTTCAGTTCATGAGGGATGGTTGATATCAACAGGTGCTGTACTGTTTAGACCAAGGTGATCAGAAGCCAAAGCGTATAGGAATAGGTCTGTCAATGGCATCAGAAGTGTCTACTCTCTACAGCCATCTGATTGCTGCTAAGCATCGATCAGATGCAGAGAAGCAGGTGTCCCTTTACCCCAGCAGACACAAATCTACTTCAACTCGATCAGATATTGCGATACTCGAGGTATTTTCTTTCCTCATCATTTCATTCTGAATACCATTATATCAGAAACATTGCTGACCCATTGGAAAAGTATTTAAAAATTAATAGTAAGTCCATAAGGAAGCTTGACATATTATACCACCTATCTATTTTGGACCAAACTCATTTTCAAGTCATATCTCAATACTAAATTATCAGAGGTCTTGGTTTGAGGATGGAGATTTTTTAATGCTATAAATTATTTTCCGATGGGTTGGATATCCCTAGTTTGCTTCACTCATTAACCATTCTGCCCTTTCTTGAGTGATTTTGAAGAAACTGAACTGTGAACTCTGAATTTGTTCTGGGTGCAGCTGCTGTCCTCTCCGAGTCACATGCTGCCACCGATGCCCCGCTTCTGCCGGAATTTCATCACTGGATCCCTCGAACCCATTTTCCATCGGTCTGTCATTATTCTGAAATCTATGCATAGGTTTTTGTTGCCTAACACCTGCAGTATTCATGAGTTACATCCGATAGGGTGGAGGAGGAGGGACCCAAGAAGGTTGAGAAGCTGCAAAATAGAGAAGTTGAATTAATGGAGTTGGACACAGAAGACAAGGGAGAGGTGATAAGGAGTGGGAGGAGGGAAGAGGTCAACTTGAAAGAAGAGGATGATGTCTCTTTCATGGCTAATGATTATTCTTGGCTAGCGACTTGATTTTCCATACTGTTATTAAAGATTGCTGTTTTTATGGAATGTTCAGTATGAATTCATCATTTTACATACATTCCTTTACTGTTCTATTTATGACCCTCCAATGAAGATCCACTTCAACTCAAGGCAACTGAGAAGTTTTCTTTCATTTTGACTTGGCCTAATGAATTTACCACTTCAGTGTAACTGTAGTGAAAGCAGTGTAGATGATGTGCTGGGATAGAGGGAAAAAAAAGTACCCTGTTCTTTACACTAACTTCATCCCTTGATTTTGCTCATTTCCATTAAATTCGTGCTTGAAAGGAAAACTTTTATAATCCAGTTTGTGCTTGTATTTGAAGGATGAGTGTCTGTGATGGATCTTCAGCTTATCATGGACAAATATAAGTATCATTTTTGACCTCTACATTTGGCATATACAGGGTTAGTAACCCTGGGAGTTTAATCCATTAACTGCTGAGTTTCGTTTTGAGGTGGTACCCTCTATGCGAGTGTGTTTCAGGCTTCTGTCTATGTAATGAACGATGATAATTTGAATTATGCTCACTCATCTTAGTCGAGTAGGTGAATTTTACTAGTTTTGCATGCACTGCACTATAGACTAAGAATGGTACCTCTTTGAGGTGGCGCCCATATATCCACAGGCGGTGGATACAGGCATAGCAGTGAAAGTAGTTGAATCCATCCTCATAACTGCTGAGGTATAAAGGATACGAACAAAGGTTTTATATCTGGCAAATTTTACTCCTTGAAGCAGAAACATTTGAAAATTTTTTCAATTTACCAAGTCGAACGAGATGAAGTCGATATCGGTGGCCACTGTTCACAAAACTCAACTCGCACTTCGTCACCGAATTAGGGACTCGAAATTACTCGTACTAAAGAGCTTAAAGTGCCTGCTATTGCAGCTGTTGAACGGAGCCGCTGACTTTCACAAGGGCGTGTAATGCTTCAGGCCTCTGATCCGTATTCTGAGACCTCAGGCACAGGCAGGACTAATAGAAAAGACGTGGTGTGAGGACACCCCATCCTCACTAATGAGAGAATGTGACTCGAGACAATCCTCCCCACCAGATGAGATTTTAATCCACAGTTGTACAGTACAGCCCTCCCCAGGCTAGTTTTGACGGGCCCGGCCTGACTCGACGGATGATCTTCGAATTTTTGGCTCGAAATGGCCCATAGGTTGGGTCGGGTCGGACCAATCGGCCTGTCCGCAACCCGTGAAGGACTCTAACGAAAAAATCTGTTTGAATTCAAATTAGATTGTTGTAAACCTCCAGATTTTTCCTATCTCACAGCTCTTCCATTAAATCCTTCATCATTCTCGGCGTTGAGGATAAGAGAAAAAAAAAATTTTGAAAGCGACCGAGAGAGCAACTGAGTGTATCCAGGAGAGTTTGAGTAAACCGCGAATGTAAAGCAATATTTAAAAAAGGCCTTTGAAATAATAGGAATGTCAATTCAGGGTATCACTTCTAATTAATACAGAAACCGATGGGAGGGATAGTTGATTTGTGAAGACCGTCCGCAGCACCATCTAGTGGCAGAAGCTGTCTCTAGCCACTTTTGAGGGAAAGTCCCCAAACCACATCTTTTCTATTAACACTGGTACTAGCTTTATTTCCTCGAACTAATTCAGGCCTGAATCGACGGCAAGGATGAGTTGAGTTTTGCAAGACGTTTCGCGACAGCATCGCCATATACGCCACCGGACACCCATTTATTCTCGTCCGACAAAGTAAATTTGATATTTTGTACGTTTCTGCTTTATAATATTTGCTATTTGAGATTATTTATATATATAGCTCCAATCTCGTCTACATTCGCGGCTATGAGGCTTCGAACTTGGAGGGTATACTCATCACTCCCTCGACAAAGCCATTCCTGCGAAATAATAATAATTAACTCGATGCTTATGTATCGAAGCGCTTCCGCATGACCTGGCAGACAGCGGCAATTCCTTTTTCCTGGGCTTCCTTTTTTCTTTCATGATGGCAAGCAGCCGCGCAATTCCGTGGCGAAGTTAAGAGGAAGGTTTTCTTTTTGGAAAGCAATTGCACCTACCTCGACGATGCAGTTTCCCGTCATCTGAGAAGGATTTTTCGCGTAACAAACCAGATTTCCTCTGGAGTTTCTAGGCGACCTTCTTGGCGTCGCGGGTTATTGTTATTGTTCACTTTACTCTTGTCCTCTGGGTGAAATGTTAAGAATTAAACCGATTTCGTCTAGCTGCTCCTTTGTGGTTTGGTGATAGTCAAGGCACTGAGTAGTGATATCACATCGCGTCGAAGTCACGTAGGATATTTTCTGTAAGCTTAACCTGTCACGATAATCGTGGGAGTTTTGGACTAAGCTGGACGGTACCCTTTAAAGAAAAGGAAATTTCATACTGATGCCAGATGCTAAAACCGGACACCTGTGCCCAAATGATCAGTAGGAACGGAGTGATTGGAAAAATCCCCATTACCCCTGGCATGGCCATCTCGAAAAGATAGGTGCATAAATCACTGCCCGTATGGTCAGGTTTTTGTGGAACCTCGCCTGCGGTTCAGCGTGATCTCCAATTATTTTCTGTGGGAAGGTAGGATTTCGAATCGTTCCTGCTATCACCTTCCTTTCGACCTGCGGAATACGAGGTCTGATCAAAAAGTTCCAGTACTTTTATTCGTAAACTTTGTTTTTAATAAGTACATTAAATTAATTGTTGTCCCCTTCAAAGTACTTATCCCAACGCTTCTGCAATTTCTGGAAGCAGTGCTGGAAGTCCTGGAGTGTAAGACTCTTAAGCTGCCTCGTCGCATTTTCCTTGATGCTTGCAGTGTCTTCAAATCTTTTTCCTTTCACGTGAAATTTAATCTTGATGGTCAGGACAAAGTCACACGGAGCCAGGTCCGGTGAATAGGGAGGGCGGGGCAACACAAGAATTTTTTTTTTAGCCAAAAACTCTCGAATTGTGAGAGCAGTGTGGGCTGGAGCATTGTCGTGATGCAAAAACCAGACTTTATTTTGGAAAAGTTGGGGCCGTTTTCTTCTAATTTCTTCCCGCAGACGGGTCAAAACATCTTTGCAGTAAGCCTGGTTAACTGTCTGGCCTTGTGGGACAAACTCATGATACATGATTCGACTAAGAGCACAGAGACGACCGGATTTCAACACTCGTGATTCGCGACTGGTTAATCCTAGCGCAAAGGAGGTTTCAACATGAGTGCGGTTACCCCCCCACCCCACTCCCACCTACACTAGTCCTAGCCCCCTACCTAAAGCAGTTTATTTTTTTAACAAGAAAGTACTGGAAAATTTTGATCAGATCTCGTACGTCTTGAAATAGGCGAAGTGCCACCCATTGGACATACAGCCTCATAAAGTAATTTTCAAAAGGAAGGGCTCCAAAAATGACCCCAACAGCTATCGGGGCATCGCTCTGACCTCTTGTGTTTTCAAGGTCCTCACCAAGCTACTCTGTTAGAGGATCACTTGTCACAATGAGCACTACTTACCTGAAGAACAATATGGATTTCGTCGCGGTCGCGGAACCGTAGATGCGCTGAAAGTGTTCAAGTCCAAATTGGACGCCCATCTCAGCGTACCAAAGAAACCTCTATTCGCTCTCTTCGTCGATTTTAAGAAAGCCTTCGACGCATCGATCGCCATCTCCTCCTCCTCAAATTAACCCGAGGATCCCAGCTACTCGGAAAAATTGTAAGACTTCTTGCCACCATACTCAAGGAAAACCTGATCCAAGTGGACGATAATCTAAGAACAATCCCTATTGCCCAAAGACGGGGTGTTCTCCAGGGCGACTCCGAGCCCACTTCTATTCATTGCTGGAACTGACGGCATCAGCTGAAAACCTGAGAGGTATCACGGCCGTTAAGGCCTTACCAGACGAGTTCCACAGCTTAATCGCTATGACACAAAATTCCTGGAAAGCCTCAAACTACCATTCTCGGCACGTCATCACTCGGTTTTCAGCCACAGGATTTCACCATCTAATCTGCAGAGTGAAGGGTTTCCACCTACCAAGTGATGCCTGCTTCTGTAGACTGTGTAATAACCCAACAGCAAACATTTACCACCTCATGTCATGCGCAGGTAACGCCCATCCGCTGACCTTTTGAGTTGAGCAATGATGACAGTTGCGTGTTTATTATACAGGGTGTCGGTAAATGATTTTTCCAATTTTGATGTTTTTTTACTCCGACTTTGTTTAAGTAGCTGCTTTGAAATTATATGTAAGATGAACTCTGAAAGTTTGAATTAGACGCTAGATTGCAAGTTGTGCATTCTGCCCGCTGGGCAGAGCTATTAATACATCCGTCGGTACGACAAAATGGTGTCCGGGCCGGAGAAAGCGTTCTGTGTCTTGGCGTTTCATGAGACAAAATCTGTTGTTACAGTGCAGAGACAGTTTCGACGGAAGTATGGGATGGCTCCTCCAAGCCAGCCATCAATTCGTGCTTGGTACGAGCGTTTTGTTAGCAATGGCTGTGTGTGTAAACTTGGAGGCCCTATGGAATGGCCTCCAAGATCGCCTGATTTGACGCCACTGGATTTCTTTTTGTGGGGTTTTGTGAAGAACAATGTCTACGTCCCTCCGCTGCTAACACTGGAGGAGTTGAAGACACGGATCAGAGAGGCCTGTGCTAAAATTGACCATCAAATGCACCGCAACGTGTGGCAAGAGTTTGAATATCGGTACGATGTGGTTCGAGTTACTCGTGGCGCTCACATTGAACTTGATTAATGACTTTGTGTACGTCAATAAAAATGGTTAAAATTGTTCTTTCGGTTGATATGTGTTTCATAAGTGTAGCTTGAAGTAACGCTGAATAATAAAATATCCAAATCGGAAAAATCATTTATGGACACCCTGTATTATATTATTATTTGTTGTTGTCATAGTGTTCAATTGACTAATAATGGATTTATATTGCCTGACGGACTGACTCATTTGATAACTTCACTATGCTCATGCCTCACAGGGTAGAATGTGACAATACACATACAGGTATATCATGCAGTGAACACAACTCTGGAAAGTGCCGTTGAATCTGCTGAATATGGCGCATGATTGAAGTGCCAACCCTTTGTCGACGAACCGATCAGTCATCTTACATTATCGGAATCTGGGTTATCGCTGCGCTGCCGAAATCGCCCGTCGAACGAATACTCCCGTCCGTACTGTCCGGTATAATATGGCTCAGATCCAAGAGCGAGGCACCGTGGAGCATCGGGGTGGTAATGCCCGCAATTACGCTGATGTAAGATAAGGCCCGAGGACAGCATTGGGATCGGTCAGTGGATTCCAAGGAACAGCGAGACAACGGCGGATTAAATTTTCAGGACATTGCAAAAGAACAGAAGCTGGCATGCGTTCAGATGGACGGTTCCACCTTGCTTTATTCGGTTAAAAGAGCGTTTTACCACGAGCGACCCCGGTGCTGATTCAGAAGCAAAAGGAGAGGAGAGTACAACGGGCACTGCAATACAAAGACGACGATTGGAGCCGGACGGTGTTCTCTGATGAAACCTGTGATCGATTGTTCAGAAATATGATACATTGTTGGTCCGAGAACGCTCAAAAGCAGCTCAAGAGAATTCCCAGAAACAGGCAGAAGATCATGGTGTGGGGAGTCTTCAGCATTAAAGGCCAGGTATCGTGCCATTCATACAGAAGGATCATGGACAGCCCCTACTACGCTCAAATTCTTCAATAACATCTACTTCCTGGTGCAAGAAGTCAGTTTGGACGACCTTGGCGATTCCAGCAAGACGACGATCCAAAGCACACAAATAGCGAAACAATTTTTGGAACAGCATGTACTCGAAACGATCGACTGGCCACCAAACAGTCCGGACGTAAACCCAAATTGAAAACCTATGCTCCGTTCTTAAGTGACGCGTGGGGAAACGGAGGCCGAACGAATTGGACGATTCTTACGTGAAGAATGGCAACGAATTCACATGTCCAACAGAAGTCATATGATCGCATCGATGAAAGAGAAAATTTTGGCTCTTTTTGATTCACAGGAAGATCGAATCAATAATTGACTTTTGTATCTCTATAGAGTATTGTATGGGGAACCTGTGAAAAAAAAATATTTCGAAATTCATCGTTTCCAGCAATATAAATTTACCAAAATCTAACAGAAAACTTTTTTGCACTCCACCGTATATACTGTATATTATGCAAATGTTCAATTTTTCGGGTACTTGGGGGTGACTATCAGTTCCCCAGGTACACTGTGGCACAACATCTACCAGCTCATCCTGAGTCATTTCTTCAATTTAGATCATCTGAAATACGAAGAAAATACTCTGCCAGCTTTATGGGACATTCTGTATAGAAGGCTGTAGGGCAGGGGTGTCAAACTCGATTAGACTTGGGGCCGGATGGAAGCCTTCCGGGGTGATTAGGGGCCACAATAAAAATCGAACAAATCTTTCATGCAAGCAGGCTGAAATTTGCAGTACGTAACCAACTGTTGAAAAGGACTTCGCGGGCCGGACAAAACGGACTGGCGGGCTGCCAGTTGACACCCCTGCTGTAGGGGAATGATTATTCAATTTTGCATTTTAATCAGACCAATTCTTGAGTCCCGAAATTCAATGAATATAGGCAATACTTTAAGGAATGGCATATTCCAGTGTGTAAACCTTCTCTGCCTGCACAACAATATTGTCTTTGGAATATTTCACATTCATATGTAATAAAAAGTAAAATGTCTGCATATTCATAAGCAGGATTTGATCCAAATATCACAAAAAATGAATTTAGTCCATTACATCTTGATTTTTTGCTCTTGTCCACTTCTTATCTGAGTATATTTCCCATTTTCTGTTTTCATCTGTGAGATTAAGGGGGAAAAAGTGTCAAATATATATATCTCTTATTTAATGTTGTCAAAAGCATCATTGGTCTCAACCAAGACAGACAACTCAGAATCTCTCAATAGAACTCACCCTGAATGTGTTCTCTTCTTTGTGTTTCATCTTGCCTTATAGGATAGGTGTTTCTAGGATCACAGTAGACACAACTTGAAGTCTCCTTAATATGGATTACTTAACTCATTCTATAACATGAACACCTGGAGAAGTGTATCCATTAGCGCAAAAAAATACAAAAAAACAGCAGACAACGAATGAGCGTTTGAGGTATCTTATTGGATGTATCTAAGGTCTAGTCCGTACTCCTACTTTCCAGCATGTTGGATGCTGGCTGCAGTGCAAAGCAGCATTCCACTAACAGACAACAAAAATGCATGTTGCTTGCAGTAGATGTTACACTGAATTTGCTGCATTGAATGTTTCACAGCAACCTCAAAAATTTGAATGGTTTCTGCTCAATGTAGCATGTTATGCAGTGCAACATTTTTTCTGAACAGTATACTGTATTCAGCTTTTGTATAGCATGTACTAAGAGTACCCAGCATGCTGCAAAACAAGAGTATGATCAAGGTTTAACCCTTGTCCATTTTTCCTAAAGAGAAATCTGAGATCAACTTTCAATGACAATGGCTGTGATCTCCTGCATGGGATATTGAATGGGCTTCATATTTGACAAACATATTGCATGAAAGTACAGTTAGATGTTTTTTTAAGTTTCATCTGAGCATCTTACCAAAACAAACTGATGAAGTCATGTGGAAAACATGAAATTGGGAGTTTTTACAAGCACTTTGCATGCGAAATCCCTCTATGAGATTGGCTCTCCCAGATAAAGCACTGCACCTTGTCATTGTGCAGGGTCACTCTTGAAAAATAAAATGCCAAAAAGATACTGAATTTCATTTCATGTCATGATTTGTGGGGGTAATGAAAGCCTTTCTCATCATAAGAAATTGGCATAGGCCTTCTCTAATGCATGTATTTGCCTAATCAATAAACAGGGTGGCTAAAAAAACCAAGCTATTGACTTCAACATGTCGTAAATCAGGCTGCAGTGCCTTGATTTGAGTAAGCTTTTAGGTACACATGAAGCAACTCTTCTGCAGAAGATATAAAATTATATGGTATGATATCACACATTTTTTTCTTTATCCATATGAAAATGGCCATCCCCATTTGGAAAACTGCAGCAACAGTACCTGGCTGCCATTTGAGTTGGAGCAGAGACAGCTGTTGTTATTAAGAAAACACTATCTTCTGTATCAATGTTTTAAGATTTGTTTCTTCCTTCTCCTAGATTTTTTTTTTCTGAAGCAAAGCAATGCTGAGCTATGTGCATGAAGACTTGGCGGTGATCAAGCAAGACCTTGTGAGTTTAAAAATGGGATCACCAACTTGAAAGCAAGGTAGTTGAAGGCCTAGAACCCGAAAAACTGAAGTGAATGCTGAAAAAGTTTAAATGCATGTGTTGAGTCAGGAGGATCAACCTGAAAGTTTGTTTTACCTGAAAGTTCATTAATCATTTTTCTGACTTCCCATCCCCTTTAAACTCAGAAGGTCTTGATCACTGTCAAGTCTTCATGTGAGTAACTTGGTATTGCTTTGTTCAACTAAAAAATAAAAAAATTTGTTGGAATAGGAAGAAACACATCTTAAAACATTGATACAGGAAATAAATTGTGTTCCTAATAACAACAGCTGTTGCTGCTGCAACTCAAATGGCAGTCAGGGACTGTTGCAGTGGTTTTCCAAATGGGGGTGGCCATTTTCATCCTGACGTAGCAAAAAATTTGTGATATCATACCATATAATTTTATATCTGCTGCAAAAGAGTTGCTTCATATGTGCCTAAAAGCTTGCTAAAATCAAAGCACTGCAGCCAGCCTGATTTATAGCATGTTGAAGTCAATAGCTTGGTTTTTTTTTTAGCCACCCTGTACATAGTGCTTATAAAGTCCTTGTGCAACTTAAAAATGTAATAACTTTGGATGTACACATGATAGAAACAAACTGTCAATGGCTAATGAAAGCATCATTATTAAAGTCCTTAACATAATAAGTATACATTTCTATGTCTCTAAATGCCTGCTATATTTTGTGATATATCATTCAATCCAATTTTCCAAAAGCTTAAAAACATTTCCCAGTTGTTGTTGTGTGATTTCACGAATTGGATTTGTGACCTTGGCCAAACGTTATTTCTAAGAATGTTGTTTTGACAAGTAAAAGATACTTATAACATTTAGTTTTATATATGAGGCTTGGTCTGAAAGTTTCCAGACATAATTTATCTCACCAACAATGGCTTTTATTCATAAAAATTCACATTTTTCCACTTTCATGCTCTGTTCAAATTTGGAAACACATTCAGCATGTAAAGGTTAATATGAAGCCAGTTTTGATTAGATACTTTGTTTAGATTTAAGTTACTCAAAAAAATGTTGTATATAATGGGTTGTATGACTTTTGAAAGACCCTGTATTTCCATGGGCATGGAGGACATGACTGTGCTGGGCACCAATAAAATTTTTGCAAGAGGTGTATAGCAGGAAGTAAACAACCAACCTCAATGTTATTAGTGTCATTGGAAGACTTGTATTTTTCTGCTTCTCAGGTGACCTGAGTGAAATGATCATGGTCAGCCTTCTTGGGTACAGTGAGTAAAAATGAGTGGTGGATGGTATATGCATGCATTTGTTTCATGAAGCCATGGAGAATGGCGTTGACTTCATTAGAAAGTGTGCGTTTGCACATACATGCACTAACACAGAACACATTCTTGTGTATGCAGTCCACCACTCATTTTTCCCCACCAAGAAGGCCAGCCACGATCGTTCTCAGGTCACCAGAGAAGCAGATTTAAAAAAAACTTTAAAATGATGCCAAGAACACTAAGGTCAGTTGCATACTTGGAGCTGTAGACTCATGGCAAAAGGTTTTTTAGGCACCAAGTACATTTATTGCCATACTACCCAGATGGTTAAGCATTAGGTACTTCCCTCTGTTTCAATTCTTATAGAACTTATGTCCTACTGCTCTCAGGAGCTGGTCACTTGCCATCACTTTTAGGTTTGAATAAGATCAAATGCTTTTTTTTTGAACTTCAAAAGGCCAGTTTGAAGGTCTGAAGTCAACACATATCCTTGAAGATTTCATTGAATGCTTGACTTGCTGTTACATTGCAATGAAAAAAGATTGAATGCAAACTATTCTGACCAGAATTATAACTATGCAGTTTAAGGAAATGCTGATCCCATGCCCGCTTCTTTCAATAGCCTTCTTTGCTAAGGGTGGATGTGATCCCAGCAGGAGTTTTAATAGAAACCTGCTTAAATACAAGCAATGCGAATGGCGACTCTAAGTCCTCAACACAGAAATGGGAGACAGTTTCTTTTAAGAAACTGGAGGTCGCTTAATCCAATTCTTAATTCTTGAAGACCAGCATCTCAGAAAATTTAACTTGCCATATCCTCCTCTCCTCACACAGCAGTAAACTCAAGAAACACTTGCAGTTGCCTTTATTCTAAGATAACATGGTACTTACAAAGCTTGATCACAAAAGTTGACTGGGAACCATAGCAACTTGAGAGAGAGAGAGAGAGAGAGAGAGACAGAAATAGAAATGCAAACACACAATTGAATAGCACATCAAGGTAGAGGCAAGGTAATTTAATTACATACATGCACCTTTTGTCCCTGGCAAGACACAGCTTCTCCAATAAAAAAAAACCAGGAAAAAAAGGTAAATATCGACAGTAAGAGATAGAAAGAGGGAAACGTTGATCTGTTCTCAGAATCACAGTTGGTCTATTACGAATGGACGTTCTCCTTCACACTCAAAACCCCCTCACAGGCAAGAATGAGACTTTGATTCATTCACTAGCATTACTACAGCAGTGTAAGTAAACAAAACAATCCAGTGGGGAGAAAAGGGCAAAAATTATTTTCTACAGTAACTTATCATACAGCATCTGTACAGCATAGACTGCTTTTACTGTACAACAAGCATTTAATAATCTTCAAGTCATACCCGCTGTGAAAAATATCAACTGGCTGGAACATAAGGGAGGGAAGGGGGAGGAAATTCCACAACAAGGGTATGACTTTGTCAAGTGATATGTCCGCTGTTCCAGGAATGGACACAAATCACAAGGACAGAGAAAAAGCGGGACAACCGGTCATGTGAGCGTCTGATTGAAATTGCAAGAGAAAGCTCTGCCAGTTATCATTATCATCTTCATTATCAATTTCAAGCATGCTACCACACACACTATATGACAAGAGTTTCCATGGAAGGCCATGAGAAATTGCATCTTGCAACTATAAGGCAAGGCCCTGCTTGCTTGAAGAAGCAAGGAGAGAAAGAGAAAGAGGAAATGAGGGCAGTTGCTATGGTTACCAGGGAAGTACCCACAAAAACGCACACACTGAAAAAAAACACAAGTCACATACTTGCCTGGCTCCTAGAATGGTGAACGACTATGGTGCAATACAAGACACCATCACCCTAGCAAAACAAAAAAATGTATTCCAGTGTTCTGCAAGGCTTTTTTTCGGATATTTTCCCTTTTCTTCTTTACAGGTGATCTATGTACAACCAAACAGGTGGAATACACTCATTGTGAGAGACTGCATAGTTGGTTCAACGCTGCGGGGGTAACGAGACACAAAAGCCCTTTCATTCCCTCATCCATGTTCCATTTTTTTGTTTTTTTTTTCCATTTCTTTTTTTTTTCTTTTTTTTTCACTGAAAGAGCAGAGACCAAGAGTCACACAAAGACAGAGCAAGAGGGAAGGGGGGGAACTGACGAACAATCTTTGGATTAAATGCGAAGTGTAGCACCACCTAGGAGACAATTGGCCACCGTTGCAAAGTTCATCACGAGAATCCAAAAAAAAAGCCAAAGAAACAGGGGCAGGGGGAAGCATACACACACACACTCACACAAACACCTGTCACTCCCCAAAAAAAAAAAAAAATAAACAGCCAGGCACTCTGACAAAAATGAGAAGGGGAGAAGTCGAACAAGGATTATGCCTCAACAATGAAATATAATTTAATCCTGAAGATACTTCCTGTTGCATTTTGGTTCCAACGACGAAGTTTTCCTTTTCTCCTTGTCTCGCATCCTGATCACGTTGACTAGATGAGTCTTAAAAAATGACAATCAAGGTTGGAATGTCGGGGGAAAAAAAAAGGCTGAGAAGAGAAGATAGTTTAGAACAGTGTGAGAACGAAGGCTTTTCTCGATGACTTCGTTTTCAGAATTTGCTTTTTCCATAAGCTCAATTTCCCTCAACTCCTTTCAAATTACAAAAGATTTTTAAAAAAAAGATTAAGAGGAGGAGGGAGACATATGAAAATGAATAAAGGGGAGGGAGACAAGAGACAGAAAGAGGGGGAGATTGTACTCGAATATCACAGATCAGACCTGGGGTATGTATCTTCAGGAGTTTTCTCACAGACAGGTTCAATCTTTTCAATCTCTTTCACAGTTGTTTTCGACATTGGAAAGAGGTTGAAACGCGTTTACATGTTTCTGACACCACACGACCAAAGTGAACACAGTTATGTCATAGGTTCTTTCAGCTAATCAGCACGCACACATACATACATGCCATCACGCCATCAGCCTCTCTCATTCAGGACAGGGAAGAAACAAACGCAGACAGGAAAAACCCTAATTAAGCTAATACAAATAGCGACTTGAATGCTGGTAACATAAAAAAGGAAAATGGGGGCAGCGCAGAGAAGTGTACAAACAAAAAAACCAAACAAATACCATGCTAAGTAGACCTGATCTAGACTAAGGATACAACAATGTTGCATGACAGAAGGAGGCGGGTACAGACCAAGGCGTGAGCAAGAGTCATTGCTAGGAATTATTTCGGTCCAGACTCGTCTCAATGTAAGGAGAGACAGGAAGAGAAGGATGAAGGAAAAAAATACAATAAAATCAGCATCACACAGTGGAAGCATAGTTGACGGGCGTTCGGGGCACAGCAAACCCCTTGGTTCCATCTGGTCCCTTGGGCTGTCGAAGGACAAGCATACGACGACCCTGATCATCCACATTCAGACTGCGCAGCTTTGTTATCAGCCGCTCTGGCCGTTGCATCTCCCTGAGAATACAAAAATAAGATACCATAGAGACCTGCACACAAAAACAAATGTCTAGGTTATTACTCATGCAGTTTTCCCATTGGTTCTGGCATCAGAATTTTGTAGCAGGGGGCCCACCAAAGGGTATTGTCACAAGTCTGCTACCAAAACCAAGAAAGCCCAAGGCTGTTCTGCTCAGGAAAGAGCAATCTTCTGTGCATGACCAGTTCAGTGTTATTCTAAAAAATATGAAGAGAGAGGCAGCCAAAGAGGCAAGGATAAGGCAATTGGCACAAGCCAATTGCCTTATCCTGACTTTAGGTTTTGAGTCTAATGTTAAGTTATAGCCTTGCCGAGGCCTAGTTCAATTTATGTTGGTGACTAACTGCAGCACACAGAACTGATGGTATATTATACCTTTCAGAAGGTAGAGATTTTATTTCCAGATAGGGAATGAGGAACTACTCTTTTTGTCATAGCTTGAAAAGAGAGTGTTGCCATCATGAATGATGGTTGGGCATAGAAATACTACAGTGTTTTTCACTTGAGTTAGACATGTTTTCACTTGACTTCGACAACGGTGCATGGTGAGGGTGATATAGCGGATCGACGCAGAAACAAGGAGTTCCATTCTTAATTGCAGATGTCGTGATGAGAAAATAAATATGAACCTTCCCAAATACACAATATATTGAAATGCTAATTTAATGTCGTGAAAAACTAGGCTTTCGTGTCACCCATTACTGTTTTCCTTAATATTTCAATAAAACAGGTGAAGATTTGGGCATCATTCCTGGGTTCTGAAGTATCATTCCCCACGCCGAACTCAAGTAGGCCTATCTAACGTGGATCTGGGATTGTCCATCGAAGTCTGATCCAGTGTGTCTACATCGTTGAACCGATGGGAAATTGAAAACTTAGAGCCGTTTTATTTAAATAGACTGCAAGGAAGGTCTCCCGTTGACAACATGGCTATGCATGCAGTTCATCGTATCCAGTACATAGTTTGATGCATATGAAAAAGCCTAAATATTTGAAGAAGAGAAAGATGTCGCTAGTCACCAGGGGCACCGGCGCCCTCGCCTCCTCTCTGAATACTCCTCGCATTGGTGTCTTAGTCAAGTGAAAAATTGTCTAACTGAGGTGAAAAACACTGTACAAAGGAGGCCATGACCTGGAATGAATCCCCATTATGCTCAAGACCACAGGTTCCCAAACTACCTTGATTTGTAGCACAAATTAGACAAGATGCATTGAGATGGGGTAGCCAATACCAAGTGGATCGGCAAGGATTGGTATATGCCGGTACTAATTTGGCCAATCGATCTGATTCACCCCTGCTGCACGATGTACTTAATGCACAGCACATACATTTTTTTGGAATTCTCAGTGTAGCAGGTGTGTGAAGTGATGCTGTGTTTGGGGGCTGAGCAGAGGCAAAAAGGGGGGTTGCTTGGTAAAAGATCAACTTTAAGTAGGGCTGTATGAACCCTTAACCCAGTGGTTCTCAACCTGGGAGGTGTCACCCCCCCAATGCATGAAGGTTCAATGGGAGTAAAAGGAAGGTTAAGAACCGCTGCCTTAACCCTTTTGTGTATGAATTTTTCAAGCAAAAAAAAAAACATTCCTTTTTTTGGCTTAATGTTTAAGGGGGTACTCTGCCGTAGTAGTCGCATGTTTCACCTCTAGAAAGCAACACTGAAGAGATTATGTGCTCTGGAGTTGACTGCATACACCTAAAGTTTTATTTGCACCATATTTAAAAAGCATTTAATCTGCAAAAATGTTGCTGTCCACTAAAGTGGACACCATGCGTCAGAGATTGGACATAGGCTGATTCAGATGTTTTCCATAAAATTGGTGAAACTTAATCTTTTGAATGTTTTCAAAATTTTCAAATTTATATATTTTATTTTTGTGCATCCAACCCACATCACATCTCTTCCCCCTACTTCAATTTCCCAACATTTTGTAGCAAGCCAGGAACTCCTACAAGCAGACAGTGGCAGATGTGATCTGTGTTTATTTTGGAGAAAGGAACTCAAAACTTGAAAGCATGTGACCAGAAGTGAGGTGTGGTCTGGAGCACAACTTCTTCCTGCTTAATGGCAGCAGGCAAAGGAGCATGTGAGAGTGGCAAGTGCATTCCCATTGATTCTCTTAGGCCCTTGCTGTAGAATTCTTTTGGAGGAAATGCTGAAACCTTGAATAGGTCTGCTTCCATTAAATGTGCAGAGGTCTAACATTAATGTTAGGCCTCTGCACATTTAATTTATTTTGTCTCTGGATGCAGCCTTTGCATGTGCAGCATTATAGGCCAACACTGAATGTTGGTTATGCTTAGCTTGTGATACATGCTCCACATAGCCCTATTTTAGACTAAGTCTTTGTTTGCTTGTATTTTCCAAATTGTAGTCATGGAATGGTAAAGCAGTACTGTTACCTAGATGCAAACAAATGCCTCAAAGCAGAACTGATATAAATCTCTTCCTTACAATATAAAATCTTTTGCAAAAACATAACCTGATATTTATGGCTAGTTTTCTATTCACTATTTCTTGAGATTTTTTTATTTTGGAGAAACTTGAGTTATCGAAAGAAAAAAGGCCATTGTAATGGTTTTTCACTTTAAGCTCAATATAGAACTGATGCACCTAATTCAAGTTAATGTCATCTTGATGGCAATAACTCTGCAAAAAAAAGACCTATTCCATAGGCACAAAGATCGGTATAAGTATCAGTCAACTATCAAGAATCAGCATATTGGCCAAATTTTAACATTGGTATGGCACTAATTTTAAAGGGTCTTTAAAGGTTTTTCTGTAGAGGAACACTTTTATCAATATTTTAATCTTAAGAATGGAATATTCATTTTATTGAATTCATAATTCAAGCCTCCTGTGTTGTCTATTCAAGTGGTCAATGACCTCAGAAACAACAAGTAACTTCAACTTGTATGCTAGCTACATTCTTCACAAAGAATGCCAGCTACTTCTTCCTTCAAAATGGAGATCAAGAACTTGAACTGGGAGCTCTTTGGCTTGCTAAAGGGTTTAAGGGTTCAATAAGGGTATTTCATTGCTAGACACCAGCAAATATTCTCTCAGTGACAGGATGCATACAACAGGACACACAAACTGCTATGTACCAGGAGGTCTGGCACAGGACCACATGCATGAGGTGCGGAATCGGGAAAGCAAAATTAAATTGGACAGTACTCCAATGGGGAATGGAGATCAATGTATTCTATCAACCCTGGGGCCAAACAAGGTCACTTGAAAAAAGGCACAAAGGGAACAGTTAATCTGGCAGTAGAAAGCCAGGTAACACAAGGCTGCCTGCAGACTGATTAAAGAGCAAAGGAGGGGGTTTCTGATGTGCAAGACACTGTCAAATTTAGTGATCAGTACCTCTCACCTTGTGAAATACACACTCAAAATTACTTTGCCTTTTTTTTATACCAATGACAAGGCTGCCTCTGCTTCATGGTCAGGCAAATTTAATTTATGTCCCCACTTCTCAACTACTATCCTCATTAGGGTGAGATCTACAACCCGAGTGAGGGAATACACAATACCAAGACCTTTCCACCTATGAGCTAGGCATGGGAGGAAAACATCTATATCCTCGTCCCTGAACTTACTATCACCTACTATACTATTACATTACTAATTAAGGCAATTCATCTCACTTTATAATAGTACCTTTTTCTCCTTTCACACATTATTGAAATACGGGCTAAATGTGAATTCTAACAAAAATTTCAACTTACCCAATCTTAACAACACTGCAGGCAGAGGATTTCTTGTTGCGGGGATTGATGACCAAGAAAAACTCAACCTGGTCACCTTGCTGCAGGGGGGCACTGTCCTTGACCTCAGACATGTGAAAGAACAGCTTTTTCCCATCCTCCATCTCATGGGACAGGAACCCAAACTGGCCTGTTGTCCATCAATGATCATGGTCATACTTAAAATTTCATGTAAGGGTCACTCTTTGATGAAAAATTTTCTCAGATTCATATCTATTAGAACAACCTTTGATAGAGTCAACAGTGGCACGTAGTTTCTTGCGGCAAGAACGAAGGTTGCCAACACGTTCTGCACCAACCTCAAGCTGAAATTGGACAGGATCACCTTTCTGCAGGATTTCCCTCTTGTTCACAAGGCTTGTGATGCCAAACTCATATGTGTAGGTCTCTCCATTCTCTAAAATATAAATTTCCTGATTATTTCAACTACTGTAGAAAATAATTTCTGAAAACTTTACCGGCTGGGCACCCGCCAAGTCCTCAAAATTTTGAACATCAAGTTCTTTGACCAAAATTCACAAAACACAACCTCTATCTTCCCTATAGCATCACCTCCTTCTCCCTTGAGTTATGTAAAAGTTGTAAATATTTTTCCAATTTCCCTGATATTTTAAAACCATATAGTTGTTTTCATAACGTTTACAGGTTTATTAGGCTTTCCAGGTCTGTAGGAACTAGGGATGCACAGATACCAATCCAAAGTATTGGTATCAGCCGATACCAAGTGGAACGGTATTAGCCAATACCTATATGACTGATCTGATCCGATTCTCCCTTGCCACACAACATACTTGATGCACAGCGCGTACATTTTTGGAATGTCTCATGAAAAAAACAACACTTGTAATGGCATTCAGTTCCTCATGTCCGTCATAGTTCCTTTTTAATCTCCAACTGATTGACAGTGAGCTTGAGCACAGTTAAAGTGGAATGCGAGATATTTGAGAAGGGCATTGTACGAATGGAATGGGCCAGTGTCATTTGCATATGCATTCATTCCTTCACTTTCAGTCAAGACTTCATTTACAAAAGGAAACTGGAATAAGAGAAAATTTGACAGGAGAGAATTTTCTAAAGAATGCCTAAAACTTTAGGCATCGATTTATGGCCTAGTTCCTTTCAGTTACAGAGTTACTATACATTCATCTCCAACAACAGCTTTGACTATTGAATGATAACTAGAATCTAAAAAAAAGTGAAATATGAATGACCACATCATCTCAAAAAGGGGGTTCCAGTGAAGAAGCAGGAGATGGCTTTCCCATCAAAATACTTATAAAAAGGGAGATAATGACTCACCATCCATGCCAACTTGAATCAATCCCGGATATTCGCTTTGATCAGGGTTCATTGAGCGAACAGGACGGATGACAATTCCATCCAAGACTTCAGGTTGAAGTTCAGGTGAAGGTATTGTGCCAGGTGACAGTGGCTTCACACTCTCAGCTGAAGGCTTTCCTGTTGCCTGGCTCTTGGCATTCACCAAGTACTCCACCTCCTGACCCAACTCGAGGTTCTCAGGCTCACCCTCATAATTACTGTTGGAAAAGACAGAAAAAATAATTGAGAAGGTAAACACAAATACCGATTTAAAATCTGAATTATTCTAAAGGGCATACTGATCAATTTCCTCAAAATAAGGAAGGTTCTCTTAGTTTATTCCTACTCCAGAACCACATGGGCAATTAACCCTTTGACTGTTATAACACAGGGGGGGGATGGCTGATATGTTTTGTTATAAAAATTGGCCCAGCTTCTTTAAAAACAATAGTTTATGCAAGATAATTTCATATCATAACTATTGAAGATAGCTGTTACATGCATAAATAGCTGTGAAGTAACCTAGAAACAGTGAATGTTCTGAGCCCGAGAACTTTCCCATGTTACCACTGCATAAGCCCAAGTATGTACTCGGGAAAGCACCCAAAGGGTTAAAGATCTTTTTTTTTTTGAGAGTGGGGTGTTTTGGTGAAAAGATTTTTGCCTGTGACAAGGTGATAAAACCTTTCAAAAAGATTCTCAGACCTTACAGCAATGTTGTTTGCCTGCACCCCCCAAAGGCTTTCCATTGGGAATGGCTTGGGATGATGAACATAGGGACATTGAAAAAGGCCAGTCAATGAACTGAATTAGAGCACAACTCAAAATCCAGCTTTCTTGGCCTCCCAAGCCAGGCATATAAAATCATCAATCTTTGTATAAAAACAAAGCCAGTCCTCAATAGAGGTACTATCAGACCAAGGTATTGTCAAATCATGTTAAAGAAAAAATTATTTTGTAAGCTCCTACCAAGTGCCCATTTTTAGATGGGCTGCAAATATGAAATGCTGCCATGATTTCCTTTGTCTCTTCTGGCACTGATGGTCTTCCACCTCCATGAGTTATACCTCATGTTTTTGTAAGTAAAATTCCAACAGAGGCTGCCATAAGGAATACCAATATCTATTGCAGACTTCTAGAATGTTATTCTGCCACACAAGAAGTAATAACTTTAAACTGTGGGATGATTTCTTACCCATTTCTGTCCATCTTACAGACATACCTTTATAAGCATTTTCCCAACTGTTTGGATGAGGGAGAACATTTCTTAGACTAACCATTAGACTAACAAAAATTGCCAGGGTAATTCCAACAATACCCCTGCTTGGAATTCCAGCTGCTGCAAAGATATGTGCAGGAATAAAGAGATGAGCAATGATATTTTTTCTGTTATCAGTATCAGCTGATATTGGGTTAAACCGATGCATTTGCCCAATACGCCCAATACTGATATATTTGCCCAAAAATACAGGGTTTTCATATTTAAATGCAACATAGGGAAATTTTTGCCCTATGATTTTGGAGTTCAGTGCATGCCTTATAGCTCATCGGGTTGCATATCTAGAAGGGTGGCTCAATACTTAACTGCACTTTTCATTCCAGAAAATCTATGGTACATCTGATCTCTATAAAACAATGCCTCCTTCTCAAGGTATTCCTCTCCTACACGGACGTACTTGTCACATCACTATGGCAATGCCTGAATGCCAGAGGCATTTGACTGTTTGTTGTCAAGTGCATAGCCACTTCGCCACTTCTTCATTGCTCTGAATTTCTTCAATCGAGGCGATTCGAAATGTTTGTTGCCTTGAGCTTTTTCATAACGGCATTAAGTGATGGATCCATGTTTCATCCCTCTTCAAAATGCTGCTGAGTATGATGTCCTTCTCTTTGTCATAGCGGTAGAAACGGTCCGATGCAGCAGTCACGGCCTTCTGGTCAAATGTCAGTTCCCTTGGCACCCATCTCACAGTAACCTCTTTGAACTTAGAGTGTGGATAATGTTTTTGACACTCCCAATATTGATGTTAAGTTCCGCTGCAAAATCTTGCATGGTAATGCAGCAATTCTCCATAATAAATTGTTCAATTTGCCATAGGTTCACAGGAGGCACAAAAGCTTAGGGGATGGATGGACACGCTTAAGGAATTGTCAAGGATTCTTGGCCGTCTTGATATTTCTTGCACAATAAATACACTTTTCCTCTGTAGACAGTCTTCCCTGAACTGTGCTTGTAATCTTCAGAAAGTATCAGCCTCCTTCACATTCTCTTTCATGTGAAATTTTATTAAACAATGCTGTTTAACCCAAGGATAAACCACCAGACGCCATGTTCTTCACACTCAATGTGCATGTGCAAGGGTTTCCAGTCTTGGCATAAATCACACTGAAGATTGGAGCTATCAGTCATATTAGGCTTTCAGGCTCTTTTCTAACCTATCGATTTTCTAGAATAGAAAGTGCAGGTAAGTATTGAACCACCCTTGTAGAAGGATGAAACCTATCACTCCTAGTGCGTTTCCTTGCAGATACGCAACCCAGTGTGCCTTGTAGCGTTCCCCAAACTCCACCCATAGGCGGCCAAACATTCCTCACGTTGCATTTAAATATGAACACCCTGAATGACTGACCAGGGAGTGTATCAAAATATCAAGCACCAATTCATTGAAAGTAGAATTGCCAAAAACTCAAAAGGACAAAACTCCAAATATAAAAATACTTGCTGAAATTATAATTTGCCAAAGCAAAATCTTTTCCATGAAAACTGATTCTCCTAATGCAGAAAAGATTGACAAATTTTTATAATACTTGTGAGAAATACATATCTCATAAGGCTCATGCTCTGAATGATCTCAAGCTTAGATTTCCTAGCCACCCCCAACATAATGTAAATATTAAGAAAAAAAAGCATGCAATGTATATCTGTAACACAATACCTGAAGTGAAAGAAGACTTCTCGGTCATGAGCAGAAGTTTCAATGAACCCAAATCCATCTTTGAGGGCAGCCACAAAACCATGATAGGGTCCAACACAGCCTTTCACAAGACCATTCTTGACAACAGCAGGCACAATGACCTTAACATTAACTGCCAACACTTGTTTTGTGCTCTTCAACTATAACAAGAAAACAAGAAGCCGCGGTTAAGAAAGCTAGCTTTTTGGTAACTCTGGCAAGCTCTGGCAGCAACTCACCTGAGAGACAGAGAATTCAACTTTATCTCCAAGCTTAGGAATGCTGCGAATTTCGCAATCTTTGAAGTAATATGGGATGCTGGCCTGAATGCCTTCAATCTCATATGTGATGAGGCCAGATGAATCAGCAGGGGGTGTCTCATCAGTCAAGATGATCTAAAATTGACAAGAGCCCTTGTTTACTGGAACTACATTCACTGAACAAGACTATACATTTAAATAGAGCCTTGGCATACCAGATCTGGGCTATTTGTGGGAGAACCTGGTTGAGAGGTTTTAAATGGAGCTGGAGTAGCCTGAGCTTCACGAGATACGATCCCATTGACGCTTTCCTTTAAAATGGTGTCAAACTTCACTGTGCCCTGTGCAAGAGGCTTGATTCGAATTCCCATCAGTCGATTGGGTGTGCTTGGGTCCTAGATGTATGAACATGGATTAATAATCCTTCTGAACCTTGACACCTTGACATCTGAACTTCCCAGAATATCACCAGGATGATAGTGACTTTGAATTAATCATACAACAGTACCTGGATGACCGTGAATTCAACTTCGTTGTCAACAGCCAGCTTCTGGGAGACATCAAGTACCTCGTTCACATTGAAAAACAGATTCGCTTCTCGTTCAACACACTTGATGTATCCTAAGTCTTCCTTGAGAGTTGAAATGATGCCTTGTTCTCGCTTTTCTCCTGATACAACGAAAGACTCATCCAGAAGAGAGATATTGGTTGCTCGCTGGAGTTTGTCCCGCCGATCAGTTGCGATGTTGAAACACACCCAATCACCATGACTGAAAATTTGGCATGTAATCCATTGACAATTCCATTGGGCCAACAGAACTTTAGAATTACATCAGAACAACTCCTATACAATATGAAAGGAGGTATAGCTCACCGGAGGGAAAATTCACCCTTCATGTCACGCTCCCCAAACTGAATCTCCACTTCTGATCGATCTTTCCCTCGAAATCGAATGCGTCCAGACAGGGGTTCATTGGGCTGGCGCATTGCACCCTTCTCCACTGTCTTTAGCACCTGACCTTTTATGGTCTCTGCCTCCACATCTTCAAATATGACTGTTCCTGCTGGCAGAAGGGTGATGTTTGTGGCAACTTCCTTCCCCTGAAATTATAAGAGATGAAATAACATGTAAAACACTTTGGGTGATTGACACAGACAGAGAAGAATAAGAAAAAAAAACCCAGAGGAACTTACATTTCGAGTCTGGATTGAGAATTCCACATCTTGTCCAAGCTTTACTTCTCCCTTACATTCAGTCAAATGAAAGAAGATCTCTCGAACAACATCACCACGTTCAATGAAGCCAAAGTTGTCCTTCATGCTACATACAACACCTTGGTAGCGTACTGGCTGTGCAGGATCTTCCAGTCGCACACAGCGGGCTGCCAAGTTTCCGGTCCTGAGCAGGAAAGAAAGAAACCCTTCCATTCAGTCCATCTCATAGCAGATGATTCAGTCTCATTACTACCAATATTTTACCTTTGATCAGTTGCAATTTGGAAGCTGACTTTGTCACCAGGTCGTAGGTTGACATTGCCCTCAATATCACCCTTGCCATAGGGTAAGAAGAAACATTCCCCTCGGTTCTCATAACTGATGCGACCCTGAACTTCATTTGATTCTCCCTCGTTCAGAATGGCTGTAGTCACAGTTCCCATTACACGTTCTTCTCCGAGCACCTGGCGGCCAAAATATGACACCCAGTCAAAACAAATGCTAAAAAAACCCTGACCCATGAAGACTCTTAGGAATAAGTTAAACAGACACAAGCATATAAAGTAGGACTGGAAAGTTCCAGGGTAACCTGTATAATAAAGCAATTGTCATCTAAAATAGGTGAATTCTTGATGATAGATTCAGGCAAGTCATACCAAATTCCATCCTGTGTTTTGTTAATTCACCTCTTTTTCAACAAGATGGAAAAAGATTTCAAAAAGTCAGAGTAACCTAGGAACTGTTACTGTTCATAGCATAAACCGGCATCATACTTTCAGCTGCATCTGACAGGCTATTTCAATAGTCCCTACAGTAGAAAAAGTGAACTTCATAACAATTCCTTCTTCAATTGAAAAAAAAAACAAGGAATGTGCAATAATAGAATTTGGCTTCAAACTACTAGATATCACTGATCCCAACAAAGCAATATTTAGACTAAGGCATTGTGGTATACAAGTATTTTCATCATACAGTGGTATTCAGTTCTTGTGATAACCATATTGACCCTTCTACATTTTTTGGTATCATCGCCATGGAAAACCATGGTATCAGTCATACCTGTATTGGTGCAACCCTAATGAAAAGCATAAGAATATACACTAAGTTTAATCAATTTGCTTTAAATCAAAGAAGTAATGCATTTTCAACTTATAGACTAACCTGCTGAGTCAAGACATCAGATGAAATCTTTGTCACAGCACTTGCAATAGGCTTTCCTGTACGCCGGTCATAAGTCATCTCAAATTCCACAGGATCACCAATCTTCAAGTGTTCTATATTGCCATCAAACTGGCTGAAGTGGAAGAAAAGGCGTGCTTGGCGCTCACAGCATTGAATGAACCCATAGGAATGCTGAAAAACAAAAAAAAAATAAACAATTTTTATAGCATACCAGTTTTCCATGGAAAGAATAACACATAACACCACTTGATATGGGTCTGCAGGAAATGAGAATTAATCTTTACTGTAGAGAACTGAGATATGCATTAATAATATGACAAAATGTATTGGATTTTCTATATGAATTAATATCTGGAGAATTCTCTGTAGACATAAAACTTGAAATACTCATCAGCTTTCATCATTAGCCACATATCTGAAATTACAAGAGCAATCCAAAGCAGATTCTTGTCTATTCCTTTGACATTTCAAATTCATATTTTCAATATATACTGACAGAGCATACTTCTGATATAGAATTAATTTTATGATCAAAGAAAAACATTTTAAAGTCATAACTTTTTTTTTTAAATAGAAGCAACATGATCGTATAGTAAAGTAAAAAGCACACATAAATTTGGAAGCTTTCAGAAAGGAGAAAATAATGCCCCAAAATGCAGCAAACCATTTTGTGACATTTCCTTATTGGCATATAATCTGCACGGTACCTACATTCCCAGATATTGGAATATTGTTGTTGGAAAACATCATTAGGCTCCTACAACATCCAATACAGCCAGGAGAGTGGATGAACTCTAGCACCTACAAGCTCATCTTTCTGATTGTTCCACTCCACCTCCATTATGTGAAGGGCCACATATTACTGTGAAAATTATTGCATTCATTCAGCTCTAATTTGAATGCCAAAAAAAGTATTTCCTTAAAAATTTAGATATACTTCCCCATGATAATTTGGTTTACAACTTTTAAAAATTTCATGCCAAAGCTATATCTTTCAACTCAGTACTGTCCCACAGCCTGTAAGAGGCCTTTTGATAATATAGGATATTCCACTCTGTGAATGGACTTGCATCATCCACTCAGAGCTGAAAACTATGAAAAATTGTCTTGTAAGGGAAGTCATGTTTCATAAACACATTAACCCCATGAGACATGCCAGCATGTCACATGATGCCACAGGGAAGATTAGCATATTACCCCTCGGCAGTTAATGTGTTAATGATAGGATAAGCGAATCACGTTGTTTTCAAAAGTAACCACATGCCTTTCTACATTAAGCGCTGGGCTTGCCATCAGTCTGTTCTCACATTTGCAAATTACACAGAGAATATGCATTAGGGCTGAAAACAAAACTGCCAAGTCTAATACAAAGCCACTTACCAGAAGCTTTTCAATTATGCCAGTCTCTCGAAGGCCTTGGTTGCCTTGATCATTGTTTCCTGACAAGGAATGGCTTCCACTGTTCTTGAACATGTTGGATGAAGAAGTTCCTCCCTGAAACATCTTAGAGCCTGAATTTCCCATGCTGTCAGGGAAAAACATGTCAGCCTGGCTAAAGATGTCTCCTCCTGGAGGGGATGAAGATGCAGGTTGACTCTGGGAACGAAAAAGTCCTGGTGATTCCCGACCAATGGCTCCCATCAGATTATTTGGGATAGGTGAGACCCGGGAGCTGGTAGGACGTTCTGAGAAGAATGAAGATGAATTTCCACTGAATGGGCTAGACAGGCCAGAACCAGCATTCACATTCCTAAGGAGGTTTGTTGGGGAAGAATTGGCTGAATTCCCAAGTCCAAATGCAGAGGATGATATAAGTTGACTATTGCTTTTGCTGCTTAGCGATGAGAGTGCAACATTTCGAGCATGATTCGGGACCATGGAGAGCAAACTGTTATTGGTTGAAGCTCCATTGCTGAGACCAATCCCCAATCCAGCATTCCCTCCTGTTGGTCCAAATCCAGGACCATTGCTGGATCCATTCAAACCCAGTGAGCCAACACTTCGGGTAGAGCCTGAATTTCCACTGATTCCTTTTGGGAAGTTGATATATGATGGTGTGGTTATAGTAGGAGCAATTCCAAAGAGGGAGTTCGAAGTTGAACTGCTTCCAATCACCCCAGCATTGTTGGAAAAAAGTGTTGAAGCAGCACTGCTGTTGCTCAAAAAATTGGATGATGTTGTCACAGTTCCTGTTCCAAATAAGCCCACTTGTGAAAGAAGTGCCTGAGGGCGCCCTGTCAACCCTCCTGGTGCCTTACTACCAAGGGTTCCCAGATTCATGGACGTATTCCGATTACTGGCTTGGTTCAGTTTCAAATCTAGTATTGCACTTGTGTCTAGATCAGAGTTCAAAGGCGGCTGGAATGGACTCCACTGAGGATTAAGAGACATCACACAATGTTTTCGGGTTTCTTTTTTTTTTAAATACTTTTTTTACTTTTTTTCTTTTTTTTTTTTGCTTTGGACTGTTACTACAATGCACTCACACACAATAGTTTGTACAGGTGCAACCTGGTGGCTACAACTTTCAAAATCTGTAGTAGGCTAGTAATCACGAGGTGATATGAGGATGCAGTGTCTTGACCAGAAGAACCTTCGGTTCAGAACTGTGATTGAAAGCCCTATATACAAGTGGAAGTACTGGCTCAACAAATGATAAGTCGTCTATTGCTGCACATTCAGTTTGAAGGAGTCCTCAGATGTCTTCAATGCGTACTTGGTCTGCCCTGCTTGTGCTTGTTTCCGGGCGTGTCTTAGGCCCTGAGTTTTTTCCTCTCTGTATGCCTGAAAGGAAAGTGAAGGATGAATCTTTAGCATGAAGCAAACAAAGTAATTTTAAAAAGATGCAGAATGACAAATGTTAGGATGTCTAACAATGGGTCCAACTTGCAGGGCTAATAGTAACCTAGCATTATCAAACACAAACTTACACATTTTACACTAGTCCTCCACAAGGCATCAATTTCTTTGAAAAACTGCCATAGAGAGATGTGGTGATAATAATATAGTCCTGTATCATGCAAATCAATATTGACAATAATAATTTATTGATAATGATTTTGAACTCTTGCATATTCAAATACGGCTAAGTCACACAATATGAAAATACCCCAATGAATGTGTCCTTTGGAAAGGGGAACAAAAGCCTCTGAAACTAATCAATTTTCATCTTCCTCATTATTTAAATGGACAAAGCACACAACTGTTAGCTACAAACTCTGGTAAGAAAGTCAATAATAAATAAGCTGTCACCTGCAATACTTGTAAATATTCTAACTGGCTTTGTTTTGATTGTCAAGGATGCCTTGAGACTGCATCCTTATGCCACAAAATACTGAACTCACCCTCCCCATCCTATCTTCCAAGTTTTCACAGCTCCCACACACCAACATAATACACATTTTGCCAAAGGAAGAAAACAAAGCCTTCCCTCTGGAACAACCTCTTTCTTTCATATGAGACTTCTTAGTTTATCAACAGGAATCCCCATTCTCTGACTAAAAGAGAATTATAAGACATGAATGGAATTGTATCTATGTACATGCACCTGCCTTTTATATACAGTCAATTCTCAATAGTTAGATGTTCAAGGGATATTCAAGTTGAAAATTGGAGTTATGGAAGTTTTATTAGACCCTATATACTACAAAATGTTAAATACTTGTATACAGAATTACAAAACATGAAATATCTACCAATTTTAGCACCATCACCTTAACAAGTCAGTCTGGAGAATGTGGCATATTTTCATGGCACCTTCACACTCAAAAATGTTCTTCAAAATTACAATTACATCAAAAGTCTCTCATGCTAAACCAGAGGTGAATTTAAAAAGCTGCACAAAATTACAATCATATTAGATTGTAGCCATGGTTGATAGCGAGGTTCAGGAACACTGGCTAACTGGTCAACAGCAGGGTGCAGTATTGATAAGGTGTAGGCATAGAGACCTCATGAATCATCACAGCCTTGACTTTCCCAACTGATCAGGGTGGAAACAAATGGTATGAATCATCACATTCTTGGTCTGCAGGAAGTGTGCTTAGATTCATGAAAAGCTTGTGTACTTGTTTAGGAAAAATAGAAAAAGGGGAGTAATAAATGCTGGATTATTAGGAAATTGTCAGCATAATAGGAGCCACAGAGGGAAAATGCACTGTCCTCGACACTTTCACTAGGAAAGTCAGTAACTTCAAGTTTAGAGAAATTTGAGTTAAAGAGGTTTGAATTATCTAGAGTTGACTGTATAAAGGTCATTCACGGGTGTGTAGATATATATACCTGTGGTTGGATCCCAGAGTGAGAACTGTACCTCTATTCTCTTCTCTTGTGTCACTTTTGGGGAGCACCAGCCACTAGGCTGATTCCATTGCATAAACTGCTTGTATGTTGCATAAGCACTTTGCCAATAAAGATTATTAAATTTACTTATTGTTATTCACATTCTGATACTAAAAAGATTCACTGCCATTACAATTTAGAATAATATGCTCTTTGTACAGCAACTTTCATTGATCTGGAAACCATTATCAGTTTTTGCTTACAAAATGTCTTCATGCTGGTCAAAGACTGACGAATTCTCCACAATATGGTGCACAAGGATATTCAAATCATATTTCCTTCCCCTATCACTTTCAGCAGTCTTTGTGTGGGCAATTTATGACATCATCATTCCCCTATCATGTCCTCTACCTATTACACCATTTTCCATTCAACTTCAGCATTAATGCATGAGGAACATCCCATGTCCAAATCAATTGAGGAGCTGTCTTACTGAAATGAAAAACACTAATGAAGGCAAAGACTGATACCCAGACTGATTGCCTCAATAGGGTAACGGTTAAGTGTATACCCCTTAACGAAATTGCACTCCCTCAGTCTCCAATGTTTCTGGATGAAATTAACTGGAAACATGCTCCATCGATTGGGCTTTCTTATATATACAATACACACCACCCGCCTAACCTAACCTGGCCTAACTTAAGGAGCAACACAATATCCCAAGGGGGTACACACTTAACCGTGACCTGAGGTAAGAACATGTGCTAGATTGTTATCTTGATTGGGAGCATAGAAATTCTCCCACACAAAACTTTCTTCCTTTATAGTTGACTCTACTCATAATTCAACCGCTTCACTTTAGAAAGATACTCCTAAATAGGCCTGAAGGGAGGCAGATCGAACAAGCACTCCCGAACGGACGCCATAAGCCTCCTTTCTAGATAGCTGCCAAGTTCGAGTGATCACATGTATACTCGAAGCCACTCCAAAGCGAAAGGAGTCCTTGCAAACCTATTTTCGCTTACTCTTCTTATGTTAGGCCTGAGCTTGTAGCCACTTTTAACCTTGCTTTATGACCTATACGGTACTGGAGCACCGATGAGAACTCATCGGAGAAAAGGGTCTCATAATGCGTTGCAAAAGCTGAAAATCTTTGATGGAGTAAAAAAAATTCAAGAAGTAGAAAACTTACCCCACCAGAGTACGACACTGATGACATGCCGCCATGTTCTGTTGTAGTTGTATCCGTGGCCGTTCTCAAGTCTGGTTCAGTTCAGAACTGCCAGATGGCGGGAGCGACGTCAAGGCGCAGGCGCTTTTCTCACATACCCTATCATGCCATGCGCCCTCCATAAAACTTGGCTCTGCAGTTAGGCGGAGGTGAGGGACTTGACCATTCTCTCATCAACTGAGATTCTCCTACTCACCGTCTCTCACGGAACTTTTGTACGTAAGACTAGCCTTGCTTCATTGGCTAAATTTTTGCTCTCACTCTTACATGTGTATCCTTAGCACTAAGAAAGACAATTGCAGTGTTTTTCACGAGTGAGACACTTTTTTCACTTGATTTCGACACCCATGCATAAGGAACGTCCCTTGCACGTGTGTCTGAGTCAAGTGGAAAACACTAGGATGTAGACCTAAAACTTAACAACTGCTCAGGCAGCCCATGCCCTGCCAGGGCAGCAATGTCTGCTCGTACGGCACCGTATCGAGCCCCTTAATGCTATTTCTATTCGTACGGCAGGTTACGGTTAAGCGCTTACTGACTAGGAATATTGCATTTCTACTAAAGTTAGATCATGTCAGATTAGGTTGGTGTTTATTATAAATTAAAGAATTCCTATCGACGTTGTATGTATCCAGTTGAATTCACCTGGAACATTGGACACAGAGACAAAAAAAATATGATGCTGTATGAGCAGGCACAGCCTTCTAGACATATTCTTGCATCACTGTATGCATAGATTTTTCAGGACTCCGCTCCCGTGGGGCTGTTTTTCCATATAACACCCAACCATGAGCTTCCTAATAGCTCGGAAGTCAGTCAAATGATAATAGAAGCAAGTGTGTGAGGGGGGGGATCAAACGCACAATGTAAGGTATTCACGCCCAAGTCATAAGTGATACGTTGCCAGCTTTTGCTATTGAAGGGGCTTAGCAATAGGGCTATGAAGAGAGTAGTAGCTTTGTTGCCTTAGAAATAGGTTGGTCAAGGACAGCTCCAGATATTGCCACTATCTAATAGTGATCCCATTTCAAAGCATGGGATAATGTCCAGTCACCATTCTTTACAACCATTAGCCATTTCATGAAGCAAAATAACACCATTCCATAAAGCAGCAGTGGAGAGGTAGCAGACAAGACAATCCTTTTCATCTTTCCTCAATTGCCCCATTGAAACTCTTACATAAGTCATCTTGTATTATTATATCCTAAATCAAGGGGAACTAAGAATCCTTCCAACCATAAGGAAATCGTCATGATTGGTATGCAGAATTTTGAGCAATGAACAAGGAAAGAGAGGGCAATATCCATTCAAGCTTGGGAAGAGTGCTTAGTTTTTTGAGAATGGCATACTATTTTCTGTTTCATCCTTTCTCCAGATAGAGCTTGTCTTGATAGCATGTCAATCTAAGTTTTGGTTCAGGAAATATCACTCATGCTACACATATATCATTAAGGTTACAAGCCATTCTCACAGTAAGACTTAGAATAATGCACAATTACTGCATTTATTCATTTCCTTATGTAGGCTTAACCTTTGACCATCATCCATATTCTTACCAAAGAAAAACTCATCCCATACAAAATGATCATATATGACAGTTTTATGCAATGTCCTGTACCATATATATGTATAAATTTTTCATTTATTGATAATGAAGCAACATATGAAAGCATATATGGCTATTGTATTTGATTTGTGAGGCTTATTCATACATAAAACATTAATTAGCCATATCGAGGTAACCAGTATTTTCTATATGCAAGAATCTTCAAGTTTGAGAGATGGTCTCCTGCATATTAAATGATGTACCTGGTTGAAATATATTATTTTTATTAGGTATATCAGCTACCTAGCCTAACACATGTCTACATTTTTGTTAAACATAGGCTTTTCTAGTTAACCCATGAAAACCATACTACATGGCAGTAAGTGCATTTGTGAAATTTCCAGAATAATATGTCTTTTGTTTTGGCTCAAAGTTAAAAGATGGCAGAGCTGCAAGGGAAGAAGAGGAATTTATGATGCTAGATGAACAAGCTGACAATTTTTATATAAATGTCTAATTGGCACCTGCATGGAGAATCAGTAGTGATTACTTGCATTTTTTGTATTCATTCCTTATTGATAGTGCAACTCACTCAGCTTGACAAATCTGGATTCTGGGTTGACGTTGCAATTTTTTTTTAATTCAAAACCAAGTTGGATACATTTCTTTTTTAAAAGAAACTCTGGCCAAATTTTTGCATATAAAGTATAAACATCTGCTGTTAATATCTGCCCACTACTGATGGAGCATAAAAGTTATAAAACTGCAGGCTTTTGTACACATGATGCAATAAGTTTAACGTTTATCCATGAACATTTACTATAGTTACAGCTGTTTCAAATCATGTAAATTCATGTGGACACAGTAATAATGACATGAAATATGCTATGCAGATTGATATTGAGTAATTACTGATAAAATCCATGATTTATACTATGGAAATGGAATCCAAGGAATAGTCATGATTCATGAAGCCAATGTCAGGGTTCCCCATGAAGCATGCAAGTGGGTCAGCCAGAAGTTTTTCCCTCCAGGAATTCCAAAACTAATTCCCTGACCCTGTGTGAACCCTCCCAGCTAGCATGAACAAGCACCTTCAGTCAGCGTACCTCTTATTAATGCACAGCCACAAATTACAGAAGGTGAAGCAAAGAGGGGTAAATGCAATATTCAAAGAGACTACTTTGTTCGCCCAGGGAAACAAAGTAGTCTGCTGGGGAAGTAATGCAGGGGGTGCTGGCACCCCCTGCTTTACTTAGAGTGCTTTGCAACTGTTAACCTTGCAGCACTGTCTTGCCTGCTTGAAGTATTTTCTATGAGGAGCACTACTTAACCCAATGGCTTACAAAGCTGCTCATTCACTGGCTGCTATAGTGAAGCCCATTCTTACAAGACTGGCAATCCACCTGTTGTAGCCAGCTACTTCATGCTTTAAGAAGTTTGTGCATTTATCCTAGAGGTAACAATTCAAGTTGCATATTGTCTTAAAGCTGAAGTTCTGAGCTATCAAAATCATAATCTGGAGCAAATTTAGTGCTCAGAAATTAATAAGCCAATGGGTCTAAATGACAGGTTTCAAATCAATAAAATTGAATGTGAAAAAATGTAATCTTATTGTTTTCTTTGAACTTCTGGGAGATGAGTCAAAAAGTTAGAAACTCATAGTAGAGAAAGCAAGAATTAAGGGAACTTGAAAGACCATATTCTTAAGTTAACAGGGAAAAGAGTTGCAGTAAGCATTGAACAGCAGTGAAGTTGCATTTGAAAGCCATAGAAATCATTTAGAAGAGAACTGTTTAAATAATTAATCATGTGCACTAAAGAAAATGTCTGGAAGATTATTTTAAAACCAGGAAATTTTACCAATAGCTTAAATTGTAATATTTTCACTGTGTTCTGAAGTGTCAAGAGTTGCAATCAAGTCATTAGAATGCCATTCAGCTAGTTATCAACAATTATCATATAAAGCACCACTTCTGTAACTCAATCAATATATTCTTACAGTTCTTGGTTTCAAATAGTGTAACACGCAATATCAAGCTAGAAGTTTTAAAATTATTAATTACTTTTCAGAGACTAAAACAATATATTAGAGGTTTTATAGGAATTGGGTCCTCTGTAGTAACAAGTATAGTGCTCTCTGGGAATGCACTGATCCATGTCACCCCCTTATCTAAGGTACAGTGCTTTCACAATTTCACACCCCCATGTGGGCACTTTCTCTACTAATGTTTCAATTCTTGGGACATCTAATTCATGTCATGTGTAAGACTGGAGAAAACATTAGTTAAAATATACTCCCAAAGAAAACAATGGTTTGCATCCAAAGGATGTGTGAACTTATTATGAAAGCACTGTATTGCTTGGTGACTACATTGGTCTTTCTAATTATTTGCATAGCCCTAAATAATGTGGAATGGACATTACAGGGTCTATCATAACCTTTTGCTAGGGGGGGTACAGTAATTATGGAGTATAAAACATATGAGTGTTATACATGTTTAAAAGCTAATTTTATTCTCATTTCATATTTGTCATTGAAAATTATAATTACGGATGTAACAATATTAGATCAGTATCAGTTATCGGGATGATATTTACTAATCAAATTGATATCAGCATTGCGATATTTTGCTTCATCGATATTCGATATCCAAGTGCATGATGAATGTCTGCTTCACTCAATATAAATGCAACGTAACCACTGACACCATCATCCAGTGATGTTTCTGTCAGTATTTTTGCTTTTGTAGTCACAGGCCTACCTCATAAACATTGGGCGCTCTAAATGCATCCCTGAATCCAGTTGTCATAAATCAATACTCTACACCATTCTCGCTGAAGGGAGTCTAATGATGTTTGACACCTCTTTGGAGGGAGAGAAACTATAAATTGGAATGGAATTGGGAAACAGTACTACACCTACAGAAGCAGCCACCATGACAGCCATAATAGCAATGGGATTCTGCTCCGCTTAAATTGTCCGCATGTAAGCCTCTGAAGGTAAGATGTGTTTGTTCATCTTGTGAACATCACGGACATCCCTTCTACACACTGCCTTGGCTTTTCCAGCATCATGGTTCTGAGATTGCCAGGATAAACGCAATGCATCTATTACTCTCTTCCCTTAATCCTGTGATTCTTCCGATCGTGATTGACTAGAAGAATGAAAGTGTGGCATCCTGAGCAATTGACGTGGAGCTTGCATGTATATACCACAAGTGACTAGGAAAGGCCAGCATAATCTTTGCTCCTGGGAAAACCTTGAAGCTTCTGGGATCAGGATTTTTTTCTCTCTGTATGATGATCTAAGCAGATATAGAAACAGGAAGGAATACGTTTTCCACAAGTTTGAGTTTGAGGCGGGAAAGCAACAAGGGAGTGCGTCTTCCGGTTCTGTTCGCAGGACAAACAAGAACCAATTCACTCCATTTAGTTGTTGGACTAACGTTAGACCTGTGTCTAGGCCTACATTATTTCTCAGGAAAAAAGTGTTAGAAAAGCACGCCAAGATGATGTACAGTGCCAAAGGATGAATCTCAGTCAGTCATAGAAAGATTGAGCTCAACTGAGTGATGACTTGCAAACAGAACAGTGAGCAGAAGTCGTGGTATGACATCAGGCATTGGTCAAGATACTAACCTAATTTGCTTACAGAGACCTAAGAAAGAGGAATGAATCAGTTTTTATTAGTATGCTTAAGCCTACATATCCGAGTTGGCCCATGATGGGAAAAAATTCAACTGCCTATGATTGCCTGGGGCCTGACTGGGGGACATGCCTTTGTCCAATCTTTCACGAGATGATGTGAGGAAGGAACCAATCAAAGTTCTTTCTATTGAGAGATTAATTTTCCAATATCTATTATTGTTTATTTACCTTGATTATTTGCAATTTTTAATTGTTGAACTACTGGATTTCTTCTTGGATTTCAGAAAAATTCCTAATATGTGTCTACTGGAATTACTTCTCAAAAACCCAGTAAATGAACTCATTGCAACATGCAATCTATGTGGTCTGGATGTAAAGTGAGGAGGAACTAATCCAAATAAGTGTGTCACAAAGAACTTAGCATCCCGCTTGAAGAATTGTCATATCATAAAGTGTCTGAAAAAATTGGAGGCCATGCTAAGAGTAAGAGAAAAATTGGTTTCAGTGCACAGGCACTTCTTCAACCTGACTTCCTTCAGGAAGTGAAAGAAGGCAGCAACTTGAAGAGGAAGGTTTAGATGATCCAGGAATATCCCCTGTTTCATCACAAGCAACATCATCATTGTCACAGGGAAGGCCTAGATATACTGCTGATGGATCATCTCAGTTTTTGACAGATAAGTTTGCAGGAGTCCATCTTGAGAGAACAGTAATGGAAGGCTAATGATCCCAGGAAATTACACTTTGATAGGTCTGTAGCTGAAATGATAGCCCTGGACAACCATTCTCCATGGTTGAGGATGTAGGTTTTTAGAGGCTGATGGCAGCTGCAACACCTCAATACAAAATACCATCTCATCTCTACATCAGTGAGACAGTTATGCCTCAGCTGTATAACAAACTCAAGGAGAAGCCAAGAAATCTCTTGAAGGACATGGATGCCCTCAGCTTCACAATGGATATTTGGACAGATGTTGAAAGTTTTGTCGGTATTACAGTACACTTTGTCACATTGGACTTTCAGGACAAAGCAACTGTTCTGGCTGCAGCACCTATCACAAGGAAACACACTGCTGAGAACATCATATTGAGAGTTGAAAATAATTGAAGGGATTGGGGAATTCTACATTCACAAGTTGCATGTTTTGTGCGTGATAGTGGGGCCAACATGAAAAAAACAACTGACCTTTTGAAGTGTTCTGCTTCACCCTGTGCAGCAGCACACCATTCAGCTAGTTGTTGAGAATTCTGTGCTCACACAGAGTGCAGTCTCTGACCTTGCCCTGTGCTGGCGTATAGTTGGGAGATTCAAGCATTCTGCCTGTGCAAGGGATAAATTGGCAGAACTCCAGGTACAGTAAAATTTACCAAAACATCAAATGGTGCAGGATGAGCTTACCAGATGGAATAGCAAGTTGTACATGCTCCAGCACCTTCTGAAGCAAAAACCTGCAATTATTGACTTTACATCTGATGAGGATGCTATGCCACAGCTATAGGCTAATCACTGGACTTTAATGAAGGGAATGATGATGCTTCTCACTCCACTAGAGGAATTCACCAGGAAGGTGAGTGCTGATAGAGCAACAGTTTCTCTGATTGGTCCTCTTCTGCAGGGCATGAAAGAAGTGTTGGGAGTCACAGTCATATAGGGGAGTTGAAACCATGAAAACAGAGATCCTAACTGGAATAGATGCAAGATTTAAACCCTTGCTGCAAGGAAAGATTGTGTGTCTCTCGACCATTCTGGATCCCAGATTCAAAGCTGCCATGTTTCCCAATCAGGAAATCAGACATAGAACTAAACAATTCCTAAAAGAGGAAATGCGAGGCTTGTTAGAATCTGAAAGCACACTTGTAGATGAGCAAGTTTTCAAGCATGTACAAGTGCAGGTTGAGGATGAATCATCCATCTGGGCTGCCATCCAGCACAGACTGTCACAGTCACTGTGTGGGGGGGGATACAGCAAGAGGAGTGTTATTCCTTCCAATGGATCTGTGGCCAGGAAACCACTTGCTATCTTTCTTCTCCTACCATTGCAATTAATGAATCTCCCTTCATATTCTGGAGAGACCAAGGGCCTCAGCATCCAAGACTGAGCCAGCTTGCCTAGCGGCATCTTAGCATTCCAGCCTCCAGTGTTGCCAGTGAGAGACTTTTCAGTAAAGCTGGAATGGTGTACACTGACCAGTGAAAGTATCTGTCTCTGAAAAAGGCAAATATGCTTCTCTTTATACAAAGCAACTTGAAATTCTTCAACTTTGAGTACTAAGTGAAACTACACCCTCCAGTGTTGTAGAATTGTTTGTAGGAAGCAATAAACCAGGAGGAAAAAAAAACTTGTTTCCTTGACCTCCTTTTATTTTTTGGATTCTTGTTTGAAAGCTTCATTCAAAAATTTTTCCAATATCGGTTATCAAATATCAGAATACAAAATGTCGTATTATCAGAATATCATAACATTCTAATATTGTTACATCCTAATTATAATTGCTGGGGTGGTTGGCGATGACAAAAGGCAATGTGTGATAGACTGCATTCAAGCATATGCCTATCAAGAAGCAAGGAAAGCAGGTGCAATGTTTATCAATTGAAAGTGAATATCTCACCATTGAATCATAGTGAGAGATTGACACTGACAACTGGAACAAAGGATACGAATCTTGTTTTACGAAATTTGATGATGGCAGGCCAGTAAAATTGTCTGAAGTGAGCAAAAACATTGTGATGGAGAACAGTGGTAAGAAACAAAGAAAAAAAGCTGCAATCGAGTTGCAAAAATAATTTCAAAGTGGTGTTGAAAGCTAATCAGATGACAATACCATATCAAGAAAGGGATGAAGGCTTTAAGGAAAAAAAAAAAAAGTATGATGATTAGTGAGCTTGGTTCCGACTGAAATTCTGAAGTGGTTGCCCCGTAAAACTTCCAAAATGTTATTCATGAAATGGAAAATGAAACAACTTTTTAAAAATTTGTTGAAGTTATACCCTCAATATATGAGGGCTGTACATGAAGCCAATTGCAGTCACACAAAATACTGATGCATTACTGTATTCAGGTTGAATAAAGGTTTAAATTGATATACTGTATAACTTACAATTTTTCTATTTGTACTTAAGGTTGTACCCCCCTAGCAAAAGGTTATGCAAGACCCTGTATATAATGCATTCATTATTGGTCTATTTTCAATTCCTTTACAAGTGATGAAAGGTGGAGAGTATACCTAACCAGCTTGGCATGAAGCTAAATCTATCCTATCCTCAACTCCTATTACAGGGCTATTCATTTATAAGCCTTGACCTATACTTTTTCCAGCCAATATACATTGTCTACAAGATAAAATGCCTGCTGTGCCAGATTGGGTGTTACCAACCTTGCTGCCACATGCTGGTGGAATTGCTGGGGCTCTCATTACACGTCCACAAATTGACACATGGTATGCGGTAAGTAAAATGCAATCAATTTCCCTACATTCATATCCCATTGGGATATATATAATTCTATATATATAATATATATAATTACATATTAATATGCTATTTATGGGTTGAATTTTGTACTCTGTGTTGTGAAGAAAAGTGGAAGTGCAGGGTGATTATAAAGTAACACAAGTGGAATATATATTAGTATGTTATGTATGCCCACTTCTTAACCCCTTAACTGGGAACTTTTGAACGCATATGTGCGGTGATTCCATTGAGAGATGGCAGGTGCCAGACCGCACATATGCGGCGAGTCCATTTAAGGGGTTAAGGCTTGATTCAATCTTTTATCATTGTTTCAGATCCATTTGAAAGTCAAAAATTGAAACATTAGAACAATAATGGGACATTCCCAGCATTTGTTATGAAAAGTTTATAAACAATATGCTGATATCTTTTCCACTTGCGTTAGTTTCGGTCATCCTGTATTACTTCAGAGGATCTGCCTCATCAGATGATAATTTTTAAAAACACCCTTGTGATAGGTGTCCTTATCTGCAATCAATGGGAGCACTCATGGAGGGGTATTAATTCAATCCAAAAACAGAATAGGCTTTGGACTTGGTACATTTGTACCTTTTGGGATGCAGAGTTCAGAAAAAATTGACTTTGGAGGTACATGCCCTGGGGGAACTGATTTTGAGAGGATATGATTTCAATTATATATATTTGCTTCAGTCAAACAGAGAGACATGGAAAGCTGAAACTTGATATTGATGTGCCTACTGACACTCCGAGTTCAGAAAAAGTTTCTTGTTTCAAATGCCCAAACAAAAATATGCCCTGGGGGCATATCTTTGTTTGGTGACGTTTTCAAATAATTTTTCTTTGTCCTACTGAATTGGGCAGAAATAGAAAGGTGAAACTTGGCGCACCAATAACTGAGGTGATAGTGAGTTCAGAAAAAATTCATGTTTACATTGTCCATACTCTCAGGGCACAGCTTTTGGCTGCATCAGCTTTTCCAGATATATTTTTGCACCTGCAAAAAAAGCAAATGGATAAGGCTGAAACTTGGTATGAATCTGGTTCTTCTAGTTCTGATTTCAGTATTTAAAAAAAAATTAATTTTTAGGTAAAACCCCTGAGGGCACATTTTTTTGCAAAAGGCATATTTTCTGGAATCCTTTCTGACCCAATGAAAGAGGGAACTAAAGAAATGTGAAAATTGACTCCGAAGTACCTGTTTGATAGCTGAGTGCAGATCCTACTTTTCAAATATGACCCCTCATAGCAGATTATGATGAGATTTGAAGTTAGGCACACAAGAAACAATTGGAGTAATTATTTCAATGAAAAACATCGGTTTGTTCTTGATACACCTTTCAAGAGGCACATATTTTTAATACGTTTTGCCACCTTGAAAATATATTAATGAATGAATCATTATATTGGTCAAAGGTGCAACCATAGTGAGTTTGTTTGCCCTTTTGGCAAACAACTTGCTAGTATATATATATATATATACGCTAATCTCTAGGCTGAGTGAAAGTACTGGGCCATTAGTGGTAAAGCAAGGATCATCATGCTTTGTTGGCTTGGATGGACTCTTCTACCTTTCCTATTATGGTGTCACAACTGCTAAGGCTCAGAATTTGAGGTCTGCAGTAAATGTTTTAATACTTCATTAATTTGAACTAGCAGAATCTGGAACTAACTTTCATTGGGATGACTTGGCTATCAGTTTTTCCAATAGTAAATTTTAAACTGTAAGATTGGGAGACACTGTGTGTTTAACTCCAGGGTAGTCTCAGTTTCAGCAGTAAATAAAAATGGAATGATTATAATTTATCCCTTGTCTTTTCATACTTGGCTAGATGACTTCACTTATTTCACCATCCAGTTTTGCTTCAGTTTGTCTCCAATTTCAGGTAAAAGGAGATATAATGCAAATGAAACAAAACTAGATGAGTTTAAATTACTGTCCAAGCCAGATTCAGGCATTACTGAGTTTTATTGATTAAATGATAAATGATATTAGTACCAGGAATTCATGGTGACCATTACTACAAGTTATTTTTATTATAATAAATAAAAACTGTGCCAATTTGTTTTTTTTTATTGAAATGATAGCAAATTTCATCTGATTGGCCCAATATTTTACAAACTGTATATGGATAGATGAAAGAAGGTTTTTGGAAATTTAGAACAATGGTGACTCAATGTATCACATGCTACACCATTTAAAACTTGAAGGTTAAGAAAATGCACCAGACATCCTTGATAATGCATCCACCTCAGCTGTACAGCTAGGGAGTGTCTGTACGTACTATCCAGAATGACTAAGGAGGTTAGCTCCACTGGTTGAGGCAAATACATCAGCGGGCTTGTATGTCACACTTTTTTACACATCAAGTTTCAATTGGCATAGATCATGATACAATGTGCCAATTTCCTTCTAATTTGGCACATACCTTCTTTCTTCTATATACATGCAGTGTTTAAAAAATTAAATCTATCATATAAAATTTACATTCATTAATAGTAAAAATGATTTGGCCCAGTTTTCTTTTTTTAATGCCGTGTATTTGATTTCTTCCACAGTCTCTCAAAAAGCCATCATGGAGACCTCCTAATTATTACTTTGGTCCAGTGTGGACAAGTTTATACACTGGGATGGGATACGCATCATACCTTGCATGGAGAGATGGGGGAGGCTTTGAAGGTCAGTTGACTGTTACTTTATTGTCATTATTACCAACCTGATATTTGAAGCAACCAAGGGGCTCATTTCTTACTGCCTGCTGAGCTAATGCATTCAGTTTCTATATATCATGTATTCTTCAATCCATTTTTGTCATTTCACTACTGTTCTAAAAGTTTGCCATCAGCTCCAGCCAACAGTCAGCAGAGCAGTTCCAGACTCATTTTGATGACTAATCTAACTCTCAATCTTAGCTTTTCAATTTTGGTTTTTTACTTTATTATTTATGGACATAGACCCAGATCAGTGTGTTTCTCAACCTTTTTTAACCCATGGACCCCTTCAGAAGAAAGGGGGAATTGTGTAGACCTCTTTACTATCTTGTAAATTTGTCAACTACCAAAGTGGGGAAACTTATGAAACCATGTTTTAAATTTTGGTTGAAATATACACATTAACTCTTTGAGGAGTGGGTTTTGTTAACACCTGGAAGATCACCCATAGTGAATACATGGAGGGCAGGAGGATGTCAGCCCGTATACAGGGTGGGCCAAAAGTTTTTGCCCCTGAATAAAAATGAGAATATCTCCTGAACAGTTTGGGCTACAGAGTCGAAAAAAATACTAAAAGAAAGTTCATTTCATCCTCTTTCTGAAAATGCATGGTTTTAGGTTCCAAAATTCATTTGGAGATGAGTCATGGCTGTTTGAAAGAAACATACCGGAAAAAAAGTTGCCAAAATGAACCTATTCCGTGCCGCCCATGGAAATCATCCTCAGCAGCTGGCTTCAAGGTCGTGCGCGCCGTCGTTTTCTTCCTTCCTAATTGCTCCCTACCTTCTTTCCCTTCTTCATAATGTGAAGGATGAAAATTTGAAGACTTTGATGCTTGATTTGGATAACCGACCAGCAGAAGATCGTGACAAATACATTTCCAGAAAGAGGATGAAATGAACTTTCTTTTAGTATTTTTTTCGACTCTGTAGCCCAAACCGTTCAGGAGATATTCACAATTTTATTCAGGGGCAAAAACTTTTGGCCCACCCTGTATATACGGGCATACTCGTCAAAGGGTTAAGATCAAAAATGCCTTGAATAGGTATAATAAATTGTTTATCTCATGCCAATATCTATAAGATGAAATGAAAAATCCCAAATCCTTAGCAAGTAACTGCTGAAGTTTTCCTTTCAATATTGTGCATTGTTATCTTGGCCAAGAAGCTAGCTACATCATTGCATAACAAAGCAGACTGCTTGCAAACTAAACTTTTGTTCTGTGGCATTTCACTCTGATAAAGCATTGTTAATCATTTCTTTAACAACTTTTTCAACTGAGTCCAACCAGCTTTGTTCCTTGGATTAATAGCTAAGAGGCCAAGAGTTTACATTCTCTTTACTTTTTCATTGCCCCCCCCCCCCCCCCAACATTCAAAAAGGAAGAGGACCATGAAATGCTTCCAATATGCTGCAGTGAGAATTCAAATCTTCAACCATCTCACATTCTAAATGAAGTCATTATGTAATGGTTCACTTTTTCATAGACAAGTTCAGTGGCTGTCTTCCACAATTGAAGATCAGTTCCTGGGCGTGTTGGTCACTATTGGATGGAAACAAGCCTAATTTAAAAGCTTAAAAGTTTATTTTTCTGAGTTGCTGTTGCACACAAGGGAAAGAGAATTTTTTAACCCTTAAAGTGCCTGAGTCTAAGAGCTTACAATGAAAGGATTAAGAAATGTAGATCATCACAGCACTTGATTATGTTTATCCTCTAGCTTTAACTCGTCTCCTTTTGGCTCTTTGACTGGCATCTTTAACACATTGACTGCCAAGCCCTTCTAAGGAAAGTGATATGTTGTGACACTGTTTGAAGAAAAATGCTGTCAGCCATAATGGATTGACATCGTCTGATCACATAATCTTTCAGTTGTAGCCATGTAAACCACCAATAGGTGATGCAGCTATGAACCCACTCATTTTGTCTATTTCTATTATCAGTTGAATATAAATGTCTATTATCAGTTGAATATAAATATAAATTTCTCGACCAAGAGGACATGACATGTTTATTGCTTATTCCTTCATGGAAGTGGTGTCTTCAGGAAATGATGACTTTGATAGCATAACTACATTTGCACCACCTCTTGATCTTAGTGATTCTGATAATTGACAGAGGTTGTGATGTGACAGGAGTGTTGATGAGGACAATCAGCAAGTTGATTAAGACAAGCAATAATTGAGAGGCAAGTAATCATGGTGGGACTGGAGATTCAGGAACAAGCACCATGTGACCTATATTTCAAGGTTGCCAGAAAATTTTCCCTTTCACAGACACCTCTGGCCTCAGTAGGACAAAACATTGAATCAGCATCTATTGAATGCTGACTCAACATCAGGGTGTTGGTGCGATGCTTCTCCTATGCTGATTCAATGCTATGTGCTAAGGGGGGGGGGGGTAATTTTTGATCATGATATATTCGGTCCACTTGAAGCTTATGATCTTCTTCTCAATGATGAAGTCCTAAATCTCAATGTAAGAGATATTGTCACGTGAGGAACTGAAGGTAGGGAGGTTGGATGAACGAGAGAGGACGAAAGAAAGCCGGGGGGCGGCCGGGAATTGAACCCGGGCCTCCTGATTACCAGTCAGGTGTGCTTCCATTACACCACCGAACCCAGGACATTCAGTCGTGCCTCTCAACACTGCCTTCATCACAATATTAATTGCCTTGCCCAGAAAATCCTTATATGTAACACTTACACTGTAATCTCTTTGAAAAACTGGGACTGATACTGACTGGACTGATCTCAGGAAGTTCTCAAGCCTGCTAACTTGAATGGGTCTTGCGTGGGACAGGTTAGAACTACTCCTTTGTATGGTGCATTTCTATGACAATAGGTAATGTTGAAAAAGGTGATTGCATTGCCAAGATTTGACTTCTACTTGATATTCTATGGCAGGGGTGTCCAAAGTGCAGCCTGTGGACCACATCCAGCACACAAAGTGCCTTAGAGAACATCCACCATGGGCACCCCTGCTCTAGGGGATAATTACCAAGAGACCTGATCAGTAGATTGTCATTACTGAATCAATGGTACCATGGTAGTCTGTCATTTCGTCAGTATATGCCATCAAAATGTCAAAACTATGACATAAAACTCTTCAACTTTTGTACAGATGATTGATTCACTTGGAGAATAATCATCTATTGTGGAAAACAAGATGATAGGTTTCATGGCTTGTCACTAACGCAACAAATGGAAGGTCATGATTTCTCCCACCCACCCATCAGTTTTGCTGGAAAATGTTTGGAAGGAAAGAAATTGACCAAAATCGGCAACAAGAAAGCATGTCATTTGTGTCATTCACTTCTGAAGGAAGAATTGGAACATGAACAAGCCCTGAAGAAGATGGAGTAATATACTGTATATTATAGAGTATATACTGTGTAATTAGTCCGGAACAACCCCAATGTGCACATAATGCTTGACAAACCACCTTCCTTATCAATTAAGTTCATTTTTCCAAGAATATAGTACATCAATGCTCCATAGAGGTCAATATCATGTTACTTATTATTCACTTGAGGCCAAGCCTTTGAATTACTAAGCAAAATGCATACAGGCATCAACCAAAATGGGTTGAAGTAGCTCGGAGCGTCAGCCACCCGTGGCTGACATAGCCTGGGAAGAACTTCCTAGTGGGGTGGCTTCTTAGTTCAGGTGGCTGACATGCCAGTCAATGTGTTAAACAAAATTCCTAGCATCTATCTAATTGACAGTGGCTCTAAATGGGTTAAACTATATTTGATCATCATCTTTGATAGTGTTATCTTGGCATAGAAGTTTTTCAGGAAACAATGCACTTTCAGGCCCCTACATTTCCTTTAAGAGAAGTGCGAGGTTTAATTTTGAACTGCTTTTTTTTACAGGCTCATGATAATGTGTAGACTTTTAATATCCTTCATCCATTAACCCTTTTATGTCTTCTTTTTTTTTCAGGAGATGCCAAGATTCCCCTGATGCTGTATGCATCCCAACTGACACTGAACTGGGCATGGACACCCATCTTCTTTGGAGCCCATAAGCTAGGGTTGGCATTTGGGGAGCTGGCACTTCTCACAGTCAATGTGGGAGCCTGCACATTTGCATTCTGGAAGATAAATCAGCATGCTGGGCTCCTCATGTTGCCATATCTGGCATGGGTTTCTTTTGCCTCTTTCCTAGCCTATCGCATCTGGAAGGATAATGCTGTTGAGGATAAAAAAGAGAGCAAGAAGAAATCATAAAAAAGAGAATTCTCTTTACTCTCTTGCATATAATCACATAGCAAATCGAGTTCCCTCCTGAATGCCTGCAGTCCTTGTTTAGAGCCCAAGCTCTAATGCTTTCTTGCTTTTTTTGTGATGCATAAAATAAAATAAAATTTCCAATATGCTTCACAGGGTTTCTTTTGTATGATACACTTTTGAATTAAAAAAACCTGTAGATTTCATCAAGAGACAGGACTAAAGGCCAGAATTATGTCTAACATCAGGGGCTGAGAGAGAAGAAGAGAAGGCTGTTTCTCATAATATGTAATGTTTATTCTTAAAGTTCTTCCTGTGCTTGTGATTGAATATATTGGCAGCACTTCTCCATCATGCCCTGAGATCTTCTGGTACAATTTGCTATTGAGGAAACTGCATACCAAAGGATATTATTGTTTATACTTTGTCGACATTTTTGCAGTGAAAGTTTGCATAGCTTTTCTCTTGTGATTCTCAGGAGTCGTTGCTGGTGATTGTCACTGTTTAATAAAGATTTTTAGTCACCTTTTGCAAGGTCATCTGCCAGACAGCTTTCAATTTTTCCATGCATTGACTAAGTGTGTTCACCAAATGGTCCTTTCACACTAAGTATGAAAAGAGACTCACTACCTTCAGCTAATCTCCATCACAACTCAGATGGTGTTAAATGTGTTTATTTCTTTTAGGCCACGATTAATGAACAAGTCCTTGTCACATTTGAATTGCTTGGTGTAAAAAAGGAATTTCTGTGAGGGCGGGAAACACTTAATTCAGTGAATCCATGGCAGTGGTTTTGGCAAGCATATTCTGGAAGCTGAGAAAAATGTACTCCGTGAGAAAAGGTTTAGCATGTCGCTAGCAATTGGGATACACTTGATCAATAGCTTTTGCTCAATCAATGCTTTCAGCTTTTCCTCTTTGTCTATTTGAAAAGCATTGTTGAACTTGCTAAGTCTCACGTCCCACGCATGGACATGTCAAGGGACTACCTACGACGACTGCGCCCTGATGGACGTAATAGTGGCACTGACATCAATGGAGTCTCCGGGGTGTGAGCTTATTGCTGTCTTAGAATCGTCCTATGAACAACGCGAGAAGAAAATTCATAATCCCTGAAAACTAGAGGTGTCCAACAAACTTTTTGATTTTGAGGGAGCAGGCCACAGAATCGAAAGTTTGTTCTGAACACGGTTTTCCAAAAAGAAAGCTTGGCTCTGTCTGATCCAACACCAATGAATTCTAAGTTTAAACCACGTGTACGTCCACTAAATATGTGAATGTAATATAATTTATTTACTTTCCTTCAGATTCGCATAAATAATACCGGTAACGGGGATTTAGGTTCGAAACGTCTCGTCAAAAATGCGGTTGGTTACGACTTGCACTAGGAAGTAGTCCTAGTGCCAGCCGCTTCCTGAGGGAGTTTCCAGAAAATCTTTGGACAAAAGGCGAACTAGACAGAGTACCACGGAAGATCGATGAAATGGGCTCTGCCGACCGCAAGCGGGGTATTATCTGGCATAGAGCAGCAGAGAACATTTTTCACAGTGGCTCAAATGATCCTGGAGACAAACCGGAAACTCACAAGACAAGAAGAGATATTCAGCGAGAGACTGGGATCTCTCATTGTGATGTTCGTAGGAAATCAAGATCTTGGATTTAAATAGGGCTGTCACGATAGCAGTTTTCAAAACATCGATGCATCGGGTGGGGGGGAGTTGCTGCGCCGGAGGATTCCATTTTTTCTCGCCGCGATAGGAGCGCGGACCTCTATCCGGCTTCTATTATCTCACGCTTGTGATCGGGAGTGCAGGGGGAATGTGTGACCTTCGCAAAGAGTAATGAAACCTACCAAACTATCGAAGATGACATCCATTCATCGATGTCCATCAGGACAGCCCTAATTTTGTCCTATTGCCGTTGAGAATCAGCTGCCAAGCCCCGTTCACGTAATTTTTTTTCCTATTTTTCTTCGTTCTACAATGTCCTTGGACATCGGCACCGCCAGATAGGAAACCTGCTGATGGTGCCATACCGGCGGTTGCCGAAGCGTCAGTACAGCCCTAGTATAAGCAACGTCCATGTAAAATATTCACTTTGAGTTCACCTTAAGTACAGATAATGCCCCAGGGCAAGTTAAAAATTAAGAAAGTTAAGCCTGCATACTAAAGTGATAGATAGGAATATAGAGAGGGGATTAGCCAATGTAGGTTTCAAAATCAAGGGAGTATAAGAACCGTCCACTTCCGCAGCATGCATCTGATTAGATCGAGCCGAAGACAGAAACAGAAGGGAAAAAAATATTGAGTCTTCCCTCCTCTCCTTTCTCACTTCCTGTCTCCGATCCGACTTTTTTTTCCCTTCCCATCTTTCTTATAGTCAGTCCCAGCATTTCTGGAATTCGATTGTGATAATAAATCGCAAGCCCATGCGGGTCACGCCCTTCTTCTGTTCCCCGCCCGGACGGACTGTTTTGAACTGTACTCACCTCAATCCAATGGGACATTTCCCCTTTAAAATATTTTGCCGATGCATCGCGATGGTCGAGAAAACTATCGATATCTCCAACTATCGATAATGGTATCGATGCATCGATCTATCGTGACAGCCCTAGTTTTAAATGCTACGAAAGAATGGAAAAGCTTGAGTTTGAGGAAAGTAACCTAGGCAGGAAATTCACTGATTCTACGCATCATCTGAATCGTTTTCACCACACAAACTGGTCGCGTTGAAGGAGTCAATTTTTTTTGCGCCAAAGTTCTTCCTTTCTATTGTAGCTTCCCAAATCTAGATCTTGCTATGTTATTCCTTTCTATATCCTTCAGTTCGGATGTAGGCAAAGTAGAACTTCTTTCACGTCGTGGGCTGAAGGCAATGGACCAGGGCCAGCCTCGTATTCTGTCTATCTTCACCTCACGTCCATGCATCACGTTTCATCAGTCCTACCCTCTGCTTCCTCGGGCTAATCTGCGGCTTACATTCGGAGGGGAAGCCAGTGAAGTCGTGATAATGCGTGACGGTGCATAGGTCGAAGACCGACAACGATTACATCCGCTTCTCAAATGAGATTACGAGTTGAGGCTTTTTTGGATCATCTGATGAAGCGATTCCTCTGGAAGTAGTGCTTGCTCCGTTCTCCACTCCCCAGGGATGGTACGAATTCGATCCCGAAACTGCAATTCATCGACCTTTGAGAAAAATATATATCGATATCCGTGAACCCATTCGGCTTCTCAACCCCGATCGATGATACGCCGAGCGTAACGGTAGGATAGAATCACGTGCTCGAGTGACCAAGCACGAGGAAGTCCACAGTCCCACGTCATGAGCTACAGAGCTACTAATGCTGTGGGAGGGATGGGCATGTGCCTCTCAATCAAGAGAAAACAGTGGCGATTGATTTTCGCGTCCGTTCAAACTCCAATCGGGTGAGAAAAGATCGGAGAGGCTCTCAAGAGGAGAGGAGAGTGAATACATTTTGTATTAAGAGCGCCATAGAAAACGTATTCTTCATGGAAGAGTTTACACTCTGCATTTCGGCGGTAAGTCGTAAGTATTAGGATCGCGAAATTCTAATTCGCGATCTTGATCCCCAGTTAAGAAAAGTCTCAGTTAAGAAAACTTTTTTTTCTTTTTTCTTTACCATTATTTTTGTCAATAAAAAAAAAACAAGCGTAATAATGATACCTCGAGATGCTCCTTTATTCTCTTTCTTTTGACTACCTTCTCAAAAAAAATTGGTCGTCAGGATGGAGCAGCATCCTCGGAAGCGCCAACGGATTGGCTGGAAAAGAAAGTGCTGCCCAAGATCGAAGGATGCGTACTTGCCCTTGACCACACGAGCTACCACCGTACGCTGACAGAAGATTCCAAGCCGTGTCCGACAAAATTCAACAAAAGTCAAGTTCAGCAATGGCTCAATTCCAAAGGGGTGACACCCTCCAAGAGAAAAATCGTCTGAGCTGAGAGCGCTGGCGAAAAATCACATCCCAGAGCCTGTTTTCGCCGTTGAACTGGCAAAAAAGCATGATGTCAAGATCATCTGGCTCCCCGTCACCCATCCAATGTTGAATGATATCGAGCATGTTTGGGCCCACGTCAAGACAGCGATTCGTCGCGGATACCAAAATGTTACAGTCACGAAAGACTCATCCGAGATGAGTTAGGGAAGGTGACAGCATCCCACGTGGCCTCGATCGAAAAGAATCAAGTGATGAAGGAAGAAGAGCAATTTTCCAGAGCTTACGAAAATAAAAATTTGGAAAACGATGACAGCGCCTCAGAAAATAAAGATGACGACTCGGAATAAACAAAAAATATAGCAATTTTTATTGTCTTTTCCATCGTGTGGTTTACTTGGGTGGGGGTTGGGGAAGGAAGGGGGAAAAAAAAGGTTTTTCTTAACTGAGACTGGGTTAAATCCCCCCCTATTTTTTTTTCCAACTTCAACCTTTTAAAGGGTGGCAGAACTGTCACTTTTTTCCCCTATCGTGGAAGAGAGCACTGTAGGTAAATCTGAAATGTAACCCGTAAATCCCTTTGCATTTTCGGAATACAGTGCCTTCCTGCCTGCACCTTCCTGTGAAACGCTCGTGGGAAAGAAACCTTATCTTTCCCCATGCAGCGTGAGAGATCCTCCGGATCTAATTAAGTCATTTCTTGTACCGTACCTAGGGGAACTTGCTTTCGTACGAGAATGGATCTGGAAGTCGAGCCCATTATTTTCATCGAGTCTGGCTGGGTTTCTCATTCAACTACCGTGAATGCCACTTCTAGGTAACGCGAGGCAGCTAAGAGAAGCCCACTCGGTTGGGTGAAAAAATCTAGACATTAGCCGGCATCTACATTCCTCTGACATGGTCTTACTTTCTTCTTGCGAATACAAGAAAACCTATTTCCATAAATTATCACAGGAGAAGAGAGGAATTCAGTGACTTTCTCCAAAAAGGGTCGGGGGTGATGCTTCTTCGAACAAGCAACAATTCTAACGAGATATCCGTTGCTCTCTACTCGACTCCCCCAGTAGATGTCGTCCCATGTCTCGGCATTCTATTATTTTGGTGATTCGACACCGAAGTTTTGATGCTGCACGATTGGACACTTCATGACACTGCGTGGTTTCGGTTTCATTGATTTTACTTTACACATTTACACATTTACATAATTATACACGTGATGGTCACATTTTTAAATGCTGTATGATTCGATCCTTCGAAATTAGATGCTTCGTGATCCCCGGCAATAATTATCTCTAAATTCACGGTATGGCCATGGACTCCAAATGAATTATAAGTTAGAATTGTAGTTATGCTTGTCGTTTATGAGTAAATTCGAAAGCTTTGGAAGCTTTTTTCATAGCTTTTGGGGTGGAAGGAAACTCCTAAAGCCCTTTATATTCGTTTCGTTTCATTGACGATTGTTTATTACTTTGGCATCATGCTTTTGAAGTATTCCTTGCTTTCATAAATCTCCTAAATTCGATACACCCTACCAACAAATTTATCCACGCCCACTCTGAAATATCTGTCATTTCCTCGA